TCCTCGCGCGGCGCGTCTTTTCTGCTGCTGGCGCGCACTCCAAACGTTCGATACCGGTTTGCACTCATCCTGCCTGGGAACCGACTATACCTCTGAGATGGGACAGTCGTCCCCGAGGGAAATATCAGAGGAATTAGGCTCTTAGGCCCTCAAAAGCGCGTTCCCCTGGAAAGGAAGTTATCGATAATCTGTCTGATATTTCCCTGCGGAGGGGTCTCACCATTGAGCTCCACCCTTCAGAATGATTTTCCATCCAGCGGACGACGTTAACGAAGGTTTGGAGACTTTCGCCAGCTTTTTAGGGGGTTGTCAGAGCCCTATCACCGCATCACCGGGCCGAACTCGTCTCGGGGATTGCCGCAGGCCACGGCCAACGCCCCCGCTTCGCGGGGGCGTTGCCCGTACCCAAGTTCTCCTTCGCTGCACTGCGGGAACCCCAATAGCTGCCGCATGCTAAAGTCACTCTTGCTTCCCGGTATACATTTTAGGCTAGTGAGGACTGCCAGAGAAGCTGCGGAGAGTACGGTATTGTCAGATAACCTCTTTCTGAGATAGACGTGGATCAGGGACCGCATGTACCCCTGTACCGATGAGGGCAACAATGGAAGTTAGCCCTTGGATAGTGGATCTTTGTTCGACCGTGGCAATGATAGACACGAAGCGTTATGTACATTTTGGAGCGCGCAGGTAGTGTGCACGTCTTAGCCGTACTCTACGAGCCAAATCCATGCCACTCCTCGGCCTCAACTTTCGGCACGTCCACCTTCTTCTTGCGCTTCTTAGCCGCAACAAGGTCTGTACCCGCCTTCGTCTTCTTCACACCTATCATATCCCGGTGCACCTCCCCAGCAAGCAAGTCATCCACAATCGGTGTACTTCCTGATGTGATGTAGCTCGTCATGACGCCTCGTGCAACGAGAGGCTGCGCGAGCAACTCCTTCAGTTCCGCGCGCAAGCCAGCCGCCTTCGCGTCGCGCGCCTTGCGCTCGCGCTTCGTCAAGCCCCCACCACCTCCACCGCTCTTATCCTCGCCATCCGACGCGAAGTCCGAGTCGAGCTCGATGTCCATCGCTTCAGCAGTCTCGCGTAGCCAGTTGCGCTCATGTTTGGCTTTGCGGTCTTTGTGGGAAAGCTTGTCGATCTCCTTCGCTAGCTGCAAGCGCGCTTTGAGTTTGTCCATTAGATGATGGTCCACCGCGATATCAGGGATCTCAGTCTCTTCTGGTGTTGAAGTCAGACATGTTCTTCGTAGCATGGAGAATCGTGGACGTACGGCGATTCAAACTGCCAAGTAGCGCGCGCAGCACGCGACGCTCATCCGCAGCACACATCAAGAGCGCAAAACCAGACCGCTTCGCACGCGCTGTACGACCATTGCGATGTACGTATGCGTCGGCTGTACGCGGTACCTGGTAATGCACGACGTGGTCGACTTCGGGGACATCGAGACCACGCGCGGCGATATCGGTCGCGAGCAAGACGGCATTCGGCAACGTCTTGAACCTGTGTGGGAGTGTCAGAAGGCGGGGAGGAGAAAAGTGATAACAATAGACCGTACCGATCAAGGTTCTTCAGGCGTTGTCGTTGCTCCAGCTGTGAGTGCAGAGGGAAGGCCGGTAATCCGAGGAGTTCGAGTAGGGGTAACAGACGCCGGATGCCGTCGATGGCAGACATGAAGATGATCGTGCGCCCTGGATACCGTAAAAGGAAGTAGTATAGATAAGCATCCTAGCCCTAGTGTTCAGTACGATATGGTGGGAGAGACCGGTGAAAGCCGACCTTTTCAGCTGCTACACACTCGATCTTGCTTTCGACCAGAGTCGAGACTCTACCGCCTTCAGGCGCTACGTCGACAACCTGCGGCTCAGGGTCGCGGAAGTCGAGACGAAGTAACAGATCATCTAGCGTAGACGCGGGCTTCTCTCCTTTCTTCGGCGCCCGAGACTTACGCCGCTTCTTGAGATTGCGCTGTAAGTCCTTGCTGAGCGTCGCGGAGAAGACGAAGGTCTGCATGGCATCTTCTCCCGACTCGGGTACTTCCTCCTCTTTGTCAGAGGGTTCGGCTCCCTCGCCCACCGTCTTCTTAAAGTCAGGATCAGTCTTGTCCTTCCTGCGTGACGCGGTTAGAACGATACTGCGAGACTAGCGATCGTACACACTGGAAGTCGCGTTGCGTAAGTTCGAGAATGTTGTCGAGTTCGGCGAAATGACCCGTTTCGATCATCCTGTCTGCCTCGTCCAACACGAGAAATCGCAAAGACTTGATGTCGTCGCCGAGGTGTTCATCCTACGCAGAGTATGAGTAGGGATTTTGTCGCAGTGGAGACGTGATACGGACCGTCTCGATGATATCCCATAAGCGACCAGGAGTTGCGACGAGGACGTCCACTCCGCGCTCGAGGATACGTTTCTGCTTCTGCGGGGACATGCCGCCCACTATGGCCGCAACGCTCACGGGCGGCGGCCCCCGTGGAGAGGCGGGTGCAGACTTCTCGTCTTTGGCAGCCTTCTGCTTCCCTCTGCCCTTGCCCTTCTTCCCTATGCCTTTCTCTTCGGGGAGAGTATCGTTCTCTTCGGTCTTCACCGACGGATACTCATTCAGACACGCGTTGAGATGTGACGAGACCTGGAGTGCCAGTTCGCGTGTGGGCGCTAGTATGAGCGCTCGCGTCGGGCGTCGGGTTTTGGGTGCTGGTATGCCTTCTCCTGACGCGCGCGCGAGCAAATTATGCAAAATTGGTAGCCCATACGCTAGAGTTTTACCGGACCCCTGACCACATGTATGAGCATAAGCAGACGATGGCAATAGCGGACAACGTACTGTTTCAGCAACACCGATGACATCGCGACCGGATATGGCATGTGGGATCGTCTCCTTTTGAATGGGTGTGGGCGTCACGAACTTCTGCCCGTGTAAGGCATTCGCTAGTTGGGGGTGCAGGTTGAAAGGAGCCCATTCTGGCAGAACCGATGTTGCTGTACGCGTGTATGTCAGATGATGTATGGACAATGAAACGTTACATGAACCACGAACCATCAAAGTCACTAGCGGGTGCACTAGGCGCAAGGGTTACGGGTGGCTCAGATGGGCCGGCCTCAGTTTCCTCGTCATCCGGTAGGAGATCCACGTCCGGAGGGAGGTCGACGTCTTCACCATCTTCTGAACCTTCATCCGACAGTGCTGCGTCCTCCTCGCCTCCTTCGTCTTCCGAACCAGATGCAACCTCAACGGGCGCACTCGCAGATCCTGAAGGTTCAAGTACCTATCTTCAGTGTGAATTTCTCATGCCTTTCAGAGCCGATAAACACAGACGCGCACATTGAACTTTACGATTCGCCCGGCTGCCGTCTCCTCATACACAACTTCTACGTTTTCCACCTCCTCCAAATCCAATATGCTCTCATCAAAATCCGCGCCTGCTGCGGGTAGCTTTGCCACAGACTTCCAAGGCAGATCATTCAGGGAAGCATGCGAGGTCTTCACTTTCTTGCGCGAAGGAGGCTGCCCAGACGACTTGCGCTTGGTTCCACGCTGTGCCTTTCCAGCGGAGCCAACCATAATGCGACAGTGGGTTTCTTGTACAGTCCAAGACTGGGTGGACCACTCTCAGAGTAGAATAATGTGGATGGAGAGCTGTGGCGACAGACAAACCTGAACGAACCCGTCAAAAAGTTGCAGACGCGTCTCGGATGTCCGGCCCGGATATTTTGGCGAATGCCGGCGCCTTCATTCTGCGGAATCGACGTTTACTAGTGCTTCAAGCGCCCGTCTAGCTCCTCCAAGGCTATGTAGACTGTGCTAGTGACTGCGCTTGAGGAAGGGTTGGAGTTGGCTGTGTATACGGGCGCTGTGCGACCAGCTGTACTGCCGCGCCTGAGTTCGGCCTTGTTATGACGCACAAGCGTCTTCTCCAAATCCGACTTTCCCTCATCAACGACCACCTCCACTTCCCTCCTACCACCACCACCTCGAGGCTTCCAACAGCAGGACGCCTACTCTGACTGTAACTGGATTTACGAAACCTACGATTACGATAGTGCAGCATGTCTGCCAATCAGTGGACGTTCCCTCTCATACTGCTGGTGGTCCTAGTCGTGTGCCTTCCCAGCCATGGCGTAGCCGCATTCGGTGCCGGAAACATTCCTTCGTATGTCTATAACGAGTCACATACAGATATTATTCCTAAAATCGGACGGTCAGATACGCGTATCTGGAGGGAAAGGCATTTCGCCACGGAGACATTGTGAGTAGTACTACCCGATTCCGAGATTTCCGAGAGATCGCGACGACGCTGACTTGTCACGCTTGCGCCACAGGAAGATGCGCTCGCAGACCTTTCCAAGAAAGCGGGTGGTTTTGCGCTTGGGGCACTGATCGGCAAGGGTGGCGCCAAATTCGGCGGACTCGACATTAAACGCGTCTACTTTGGGTATGTTATCACTCGCGGGTCTGGTTCATCGGGTATTGACTAGGCCGTCTAGTAACTGGTTGCGTGACTATAGTCAAGCCGTCGACATCGCTGGCTTGGAGAAACTCCCTCTTCAAACCATTATCAACTTGTGCATGGTTCTCGGATTCCTGGTAGGCAAGGCAATCATTTCTGTGAACGCGCGTCTGATCTTGGCATCAGGCTCACGGATATGCGACTGAAGAGTTTGAAGTCACAAAAGATCGCCTCGGTGTCTATCTACCGACCGAGCATATCGACAATCCGAAAGGCTATGGCGCTGGCAAGGACCCTCGCACGTACGATCCCCGGCTACGCGGACCCGTAGATGTATGTCATGGTTCTACTGCTTGGTAATTGATCTGACACTGGCTTAGCCCAGGGAGCTGGAGATCGACATGCAGACCGGTATGAAGAACTACATCGCGAATGAGAATGGATCGTGGGACACCTCCCGAGCACTAGTTCGTCGGACGCTGGAACGCTGCATCCATATGGGTCGCCAGTACAAGTCTACCAACCGCAAGGAAGACCAGTTCGAAGCCTTCCGCCTACTTGGACAAGCTCTCCACACGCTTGAGGATTTCCCCGCTCACTCCAACTTCACCGAGCTTAGTCTCGTAGCCCTCGGACATCGCGACGTCTTTGTGCATGTCGGCGATCGCGTTCGCGTCCGGGCGCCCAGTGGCAACATGGTTGCGCCACTTGTGACCGGTACTTTCGGAGGCAGCGATTTCATCCACAGTCTGCTTGGCGGTACGTAAACATGTGCAGACTTACGTGGATACACGATCTGAGTCCTTCCCTGCAGAGGCTGGCGACCATATCAGTCAAGCGTCGGTTAGCGACCTCAACAAGGCTATGGCTGCTGCACGCTCGCGGTCTGTCCAAAATGGTCAAGGTCCCGTCGATACTCTTCGTGACCTGCTGTTCAAGCTTCCCAACGGGAGTGGCAATGATATGGAGCGCGAGATGGAGGATATCGGACGCTTACGCGATGCACCAATGCAGGGTGGTCGCGCGCCGGATCAGATGAGCCCACAAGAGCTTCACGCTGTTCTGTGGCGGGTACTCAGCTTCCGTGACCGCGGTAGGTTATACTCTACCTACCAAATCTCCGGTAGAACTAATGGGGTCTGCAGTTGTCAAGTCCATCGAACAAACCATTGAGAAGATCCCCGGTCTGGGCTCCCTCATTGAGAAGTTGCAGGATTCGATCGCCGGTAAGATGCACGCCGTAGTCTTGCGAACACTAACCAACTCGTATGGCAGTCTTCATTTACACTACGCTGGAGCCATACATTATGCCGCTCCTGAAGACGGCGACGTCGCAACTCATGACAGCTTCCACCGAGGTTATCAACTCGTCTGATCAGTACGAGGTCTTCAATGACCCTTCTGCATCGGATCCCACGCACTCCTTCCTCAGCAAGGACCACTTTGTGCGTATTCAGTCGCTAGCGTTTGCATGCTATTGACCTTCATCCAGAACCTCATCCTGAACGAGCCTGCGGGGAACCTTGCCATGATCATCGTCAAGTATACTGTGAACCTGGTCGTCAAGGCTTGGACCGATACCAGCGTGCACCCACGCTCTGTCACCGAGGATGTTCTGCAATGCCTGTGCGTCTTGCTCTGGATTCTCCCACGAATACACGCTCATACCCCTACAATAGTTTCCACCCTGAATTCCACGATCGCAACTCTGCCATACAGCGCGAGATGATGACCTACATGCAGAAGTGGTCGCAGTCGCATGGCCAACAATCCAACATGATCCTCGGGCGCCTCACGAAGGACGCTGTGCGTAACCACCAAAACATTCGTCTGAAAGGCGAGGGTGGCCAGGGCGCTGCCGAGGGCTCATACGCTGCGAACGCCGGACATAACGCCAACGCATCAATCAATAGCTACATCACAAACATCCCAGCCGTTCAACAAGCGCAGGGATTGTACAACAAGGTCAGCAGCTTCGGGGCACCAGGTGCCGGCATCGGTCGCGAGGGCGGATTCAGTCCCGGCCCTGCGCCTCCCATGCCCTCCATCGAGGCGGAGACGACGTACCGCCCGCCTCCAACGCATGCCCACGGTCGTCCCGGTGGTGAGGCAGACAACTACTATCAGGCGGCTAGCGGTGGACCTCCGCCGCCAAACACGTCTTCTCGCCCACCGACTGGTGCCCCATCGTACGGAGGTGGCGCTTTTTCCTTCCCCGGCGGAGGCGACTCATCGTATCCACCCCCTAGTGGTCCGCCCTACCCTGGTCAAGGAGGATCATCATACCCCGGACAAGGAGGGTCTTCTTACCCGGGACAGGGTGCGCCATCCTTCCCTGGTGGCTCGACGTACCCTGGTCAAGGCGGCGGCGGTTACGGCGACTTCCCTGCGCCCAGCGGTCCGCCTCCAATGCCTGGTCAACACTATGGTCCCTCGACGTACCCGGGCCAGACTGGGGGCGCAATGGACTTCCCAGCTGCTGAGGGTGGATACAATCCTGGGTACATCAGCCCGCCGCCTGGTCCTCCGGGCATGCCTGGCTTCCCTGGTGAAGGCGGCCCGCCGTTCCCAGGAGGGCCGCGAGGGTTCCCCGATGCTCAGCCACACCACGGACACCACGGACACCATGGTCATCCCCGTTATTGATTTCGTTCACGAACATTGTAATACGGTTGTGATTACGAAAATCTCGAATGTACAATGTAGCTCGGGAATCTGTACAGCTCTACTGGTTTTCTCTTGACCCACTTGACACCATCTTGTTGTATGTACCTCATAGAAAGTAGCACAAAAGACTCTTGGACCTGTTATGCGAAGTGTCCCAGGATAAACCCGTGCATTGCATGCGACATTCATAGTAAGCCCATACGCATCAGTAACGGCGACGTTCGTGGTGATTGACAAGCATGAATCGCATGTAAGTGCATTTCGTCATTGTGCATCGAGGGCTCATTTACAGCATCGTAAACCTTTCATACAAGTACAAAAGCGTACGGGAATCTATCACCACGTCGCAGGACCGAAAGTCTTGCCATCGGGAGGCGCAAGAAGCGGTGTACCGGCGATGTCCGCGGTGTCGAACGCCTTGTTGTTGCCCCACCAGGAGAGGATCGAATTCTGACCGATCGTTCCATTCGCTGGGTACTGAAGGACGAAGAAGATGAACAGTGTGCCGATAGCGTAACCCGAGTCGAGACCTGCGGAGAGTACGTAGTTATACTTCGACCACCTGCAAGTGAAGTCAGTATGAAGTCCGTGCAGGAGTTAGAGTCCTGGATCGTACCAAGCGAAGTGGCGCCTGCGGATCACGTAGTTGAAGACGAATCCAATGAGAACCCAGGGGATGTAGTTCAACGGTGTCGCGGGCGGGATGAGGCCTGGGCCGGAGAAGATCACGGGCTGCGCAGGAGGGTCAGCGTATGAGGCGTGTAAGATCGGCAGGACGCTCACGAAGTTGAGGTATTTGAGGATGTTGAGCTTGAAACGCTTGTGAACCGCCCATTGGATGAGCGGCGCAGCAAATCCGACAACGAAGAAGAAGAGCAAGTTGTAGTACATCTGACCGCGTGAGAACTGGCGGGCCGGGCCAATGACACCCCAGATGATGGAGGCCGTTCCGAAGACGGTTGTGCTAGGGCAGATGAAGCCGCTCGGTTGGTCGGACGAGCACATGCCGGGGATGTTCGTAAACATCCAGGACTGAAAGGTGGTGAGAGTATAGGTAAGTGCCAGTTGTGCATACACAGGCTATCAATCACGTACCTGAACGCCGAGCTGAACAGTCCCAGCTATCACGGTAGCTACAACCTGGCAGTGGAACATCTCTGACAAGAGCTCGATCAACGTCTTGCTTCGAACGTGGGTTAGGAGGAAGGCTCACGGCGCGGCGGAATCTTCATGTAATGGCCCAACTTGAAGCTACGACGCGTTCCCGTCAGCTCACATCGGGAACTCTGGTGGCATGGTCTACTTACTCGGACGTGAAAGTCAGTGCTTGTGCCATTGTAATGTATCCCCAAGCTGGCAGCAGTGTGTGAGGCGATGGCTCATAACAAGAATGGAGCTCTTACTCTTAAACATCATCATAGCGATTGGCCTTCCTGGGAGCATATATCCGATTATAAGCTCGGTGATCACGTCTAGGGCGCGGTCAGTACGGTAACAGACGGAACCAGTCCTTTACTTACTCAATCCGACCTGCATATTCGTGATAGCCTGTGGTGCTGTTAGTTACTGAGCATCTATATCAGGGCGACAACACTGACCTGAATGATACCGATCGGGATAGTGTACACGAAAGCTGTCGGAAGCAGTTAGCAGGGAACGTCGACCCTGACTGGAGATAGACTGACATATAGCTAGCGCCAACACGAACGCCCACACGGGGAAGTCTGGGTGAAAAACCTGAAAGCGGTGAGCAGGACCGTACGCGAACGTATACACGGTCATCACCGACCTCGACTACAATGATACCGAAGACGAACATGACGACTGCATAGCAAACGTCAGTCACGATGAAACGGGACAGGTCGCAGATCTGCGTACCGAAGATGACAGCATACCACCATTCGGGAACACCCTTGTAAACGGCCATCAGACGAGCGTGCACTGATGCGATCGCGTCAGCGCTGTCGTGTGCAGTCCTGAAGATAACGCAGAACCCACCATCAGGCTGCTCGCTCAGTGAACGCCTGGCCTGTACCCAGATCTGCTTCCGGTAATACAGGAAGCAGTGCGTCAGCGTCGCGGTGATGGACGCGAAGGACAGGCCGTAGGAGATGGCGAATGCGGCCGGAAGGAATAGTGGACTGTAAGCCTTGTACTCCTCCACGTTGAGACTGAGATCCGGATTGATGATGCGTGTGACGTTGTAGGGACTTCCAGTGTTGTCAAACGAAGACGAGTCGACCATAGGCAGGTATGCGGTGAACCATGTATTCGTGTACTGAGACAAAATCAGGACTTGTCGAGCCACAGCCACAAGAGGACTCACGTAAAGTATCGGTGTCACAATCCAATAGAATATGACCATTGATATGCCGATGTTGGCAATCGCCCACCAGGGAACAGGAAGGCTAGAGTCCTTTCAGCTCATCTTGACCATCATCTTGGTGTTGAAAGAAGACGTACGGAGATCCAGTGAAGGTGATTTGCCCCCAATCCAAGGTCAACATGCTTGATTACCAGGTACAATCAGTCTCTTATCCACACAAGTGCTGATAATCATCTTACCTGAACGCCAGACCATGCGAGGTGCCGAAGAGCTGGTTGATCTTGACGCTTGGGTTAGCAAGACTAGTCTTGCCAATGATGATCGGCCTGTCACTCACTTTGAGGTCGTTGGGTCTTATCCAAGTAACCCAGGCGAATCCGGACAGGGCAGTGAACAAATACGTCGGGATGAAGTTCCATACGAAGTATATGCAGGCAACGTAGGCAAAGAACTGTTATACGGTGAATAGTCTGTTATAGGATGAGTCACGAAGACGCGTACCCGTTCACGTGAAATACCACCGCGAGCCTCAGATCCTGCTGTCTGCTTCGCGTGCAGTGTGTTCAAGAGCACGGAGAAGACTAGGTTGGAAGGCCAGATCATGGATGGTGGTGAGACAAGGAAACGGCGGCAGATACCACCGATGCTGAAGCCGATTAACTGGGTACTCATGACGAGCATCCATTGGTCTGTACGACAGCGTCAGCTTTATACAGTTCACGAGGTGATGAGAATGCCATACATCCGAAGTTAGGTGCTTGGTTGTAGAAGACGCGCTGAACGGCGATGATGTCCGTCTACCTCACCTGTGAGTATGTTTCAAGCAATGTCGGCGAGAAGGTAGCTCACCGCGTACGCAGAGCCAGAGCCGACGGAGGCCATGATCACGATTATGACATGCTCTTTGATTGTGAATGGCCCCGGGTTTAAGGACGCGCCAAATAATCTGATCCGAGGGACGAAGCGAGCCCAGAGTTTGACGACCGGGAAGGATAGCAACAGAGGAACAAGCTATGGGTACCTGTCAGTGGCGTAACCGAGACTAAACCCGCGCCATTCATGTACCGCGCTAATAGTGACTGCCGGGAATCGGAAGAAGAAGAACTGGTTCACGCCCTGTAGAAGGCACGTTTAGAAAGATGACAAAGACAACCAGAGTGGCAGCGTACGGGGATGAGGATGGCCCAGATTATCCCTATGAACCATGCTCGGAACGTGGCACTGAAAGCGTCTTCGTGAGTGCGTTGAGAGACGAGATGGAAAGCTCTCGTACCTGGGCATCTCGGGATCATCGGTGTTGGCGACTGCAGATCGCACTTCTGGGTAAGGCGACTCATCCTCAAGCAGGAGCGCTCCAGGATCGAAATTGGGATCCTCTACGAAGTCGATGGCCTCGGCGATCTGAGAATATGATCTTCAATATGATGATGTGTTATCAAGAGGAAGCGTCCACATACAGCCTGATTCTCCTTGATTGACCCCTTCTCTGGGTCGAACTTCTCGAGACTATCGGACTCGCGCGTCGTGTCTGGGACAGGCGCCTCCATGCCGAGCAGTTACGCTGGTGAAGTACTGGAGAAAGGCGGGAAAGCGACAAGCCGTACGATACCCGTGAAGGGTATATATCGGAGGCGCTCACGTTCTCCCTTGCTCCGCCTTCGCTTGGGCCTTCCCAGACTGCTCCCCGCCATGCATGTAAGCATGTGAAGAAGACCCTGACTTTCTATGAAGATAAGTAAAGTCCCATGCCACAGTACGCTGGAGCATGAGTGCACCCGGAGGTCCCGCAGGGAAAAACGTCAAGCCCGTAGGAGAAGAAGTAAGGAATGAGAGCATGTTCCCAATAACGGCAAAGACCAGGGTCTCTTCATTGGATGCTGTGAATAGCTGCGGAGATCATGCCAAAGTAGAGTCGTGTGCGGCCTGGCAGTCCTGCCAATAGGCCATAAGCCTTTATCGAGACCTGAGAAGATGTGGGTGCCTGATTGCAGAGTACAGCGCCAGGCAACATATTTAGATAGAGTGGTAGCAACGTAGCAGCTATTGAAGACGAGCGAGTACCTCCCCGTATCAACCTCGAGACTCTGTGGGATCCATATGCGTGCGTGAGTATGGGGTGCTCCAGCGTCGTGGCCGCGTGAAGAAACACCGTCGGGGATGGCGGCGCTGGCGCTGTGTGACCGGCAATTTCCATTTCCGGATCAGATTGCCGAAATACCGGACGTCTCGGTTACGATTTCAACCATCCTTGCCTTGCAGTCATCCTCCATGATGTTCGAACTCTACAGAGCGCCGCAATACATTGTGATCAGGCTGACCGAGTACAGCTACGACGAAGCGACGGCGAAGTTTTTACACCACCAGCATGTCAACTGTTCGAGCGGCTGCGACTGGCAGCTGGCGCTGGTCGCGGGTTCGTAAGGAGAACTGTCAACTGACAATCCTCCCAACGCGCATACCCTTGAGACCTCGCGCTCTATCACCACATCATCAACTTGCTAAGAACGGTATTGGCCTAGTGGATGTCTTCGCCGCGCAACTGTGGACGAAATGCAAACCCCGATTCATCGTGCCCTCTCTGGGAGTGGAACACGCTCGAGGTTACACCTTGAAATTCTTCGACAGCTCATGCTGACACTAGGAAGTGGCCTGTTTGTGGAAGTGCACACTGAGCCTTGTAGCTACACAGCTGGACCTTATCTCGTGCGGTACTGTGCCTTCACAGGACCTCATTCCACGCCGTCAAATATCGTGTATCTTGCCGCCGTCGTACATTGAGCGCTCTATTGCCAAACCGTTCTTATGAAAGTTACGAGTACTGCGCTACCAGCATGGGTACTGCGCGGTCGTGCGGGAAAGGCGTCTGCAGACCATAATCTGCATAAATTGAGTCAAATACGTGTTGAATCAGCCACCCGCCCATGCTTACGTCTCTGATGTGGATACTTACACAGTGGCTCTCCCAGTATCTTGATGCTGACGCATGTTTTCCTTGCGTTGCGGCATGTTTCGTGCGAGGAGGCGCGGTCCGCTACCAACGCGAGTCTAGGCCCCCATTTGTTACCTGGAGCCTGAGAGCAACATGTGCACTGCCTCTTCGCAAGACTTGAAGAGACCATGAAGCGGTACACTCCAAGTCTGAGAGGGCGCCCCGGCTTGTGGACGTCCTGTCGCGCCATGACCTGACCACATCTCGGTATTGGCCGTGATCCGAATGACAGACGTATCTTCAGCGGGTCGCCATTGCCATAACAGGGGCTGACTCGCAACTGTATCACACATAACTGATGCGCAAGGAAATTCGATTACTATGTGGTGTAATGTGATAACAAGATTTCCGAGGCTCCCGACGCGCGAGATATTGGAGGACATGCCATTCAAGAATAAGTAATCTAATCAGATCAGAGTCCAAAGCGACACTGTAGACAAACGGAACCCTACGATTGAGCCTACGCCGTGAGAGTTCATGCACTTGATCAGAAGCAACACATTAGGGCTGGTTTCGATACGTTGCGTTTTCACCCCGGGAAGCCACTCGGTCGACGCTCAGCGCCCTTCCGGGTCATCGCTTGGTCATTCTCGCCTATGGATAACTTTGGCTTCTTCCCTCCTGGAATTCTGATCGGAGGAATGGACATGCTCGAGGATTGCTGTGGTGTCAATGGTGATGTTCGCGACCGAGATGATAGAGTGTGCCGCGCAGGTTTAGCACGCTTCCCCGCACCTTCATCGCCGGGAACGACAGCTGATGATCCTGAAAGATTACGTAGTCAGCATATCAATATACAGTCTACGAGGCCACTGCGTACTGCTGTCGTCTGACCCTGCTTCTTCTGCGGAAGAATCGTCGTCGTCGGTCAGAGACCGCTTCTTGGAATTAGTGGTCTGTTTGTCGGGGCCGTCTACGGTCATAGAGGTTAGCCACGTTCATTGGTCTAAACTAAAGAAGTGTGTGGCACACCTTTCACTATACTGGAGCGCAGTTGTTCCTGATATTCTTTCTGTATCAACTTCACGTTTCGGGCGGTGTCTTTGTGACGCTGGCACCATTGGCTCATAATCTGGGCCTTGAGACCGTCGACTTCCCTTTGCTGCTCGGCGATCTTGCGCTGCAGTGTCTGAGTCTTCCTGAGAAGCTTCTCATTCTGTTCTACCAGGAGGTCGAGTTCTCTTTCGCCCTCACCGGGGCCAGTGGAGGCCGGGGGGTGAAGCACAGTCGGATCGATCGTCGGTTGCGGTGTCTCGTTTCCAGAAGGCATTATGGCCGGTGGCGGGGAGTGAGTTGGCGAATCATTATAACCAAGCATATCCACGTCGACAAGCTCTGGAGTCGCAATGGGGACCGTCACTTCGTGCATGACGTTGAAGAGCCAAGTAGGACATACGGGCGCCGCCATCAAAGTTCATCGTTCCTATCGAATCGATAGTTAGATGAGATAATGTATGCTCAAGCTGAGGCGCGATGCATGTAAGCATGTAACTTGACTCCGCGAGAAGCGAGACGACGAACTTGTTCGGACGGTGCTTGTGCATTCGGAGGGTTGATGAAAGCCGAAGAGACATCTTGTTCGTATGCTGTTTCATTGAGGGAATACGGTAACTTCAAGTGCACCAGAACAAAGCCTGAGATCAGTTTCAAGTATGAGACATCCTTTACACACTCGCATATGACGCACCTCATCGTCCCGCTGTAGTCCATCGAGTCGAGCCTTCAGCTCGTCTCTCTCCTTCCCGATAACACTCAGCTGTTGACTAACACTGGTAATTTCCTCTTGGTGAGCGGCATAGATTTGTGTAAGCAGCTTCTCCATAGTCGAGTCGAAGACATGCTTGGCCTAGTTCACCGAGTGAGCCATCAGTGCAACACGGCCACAAAGGCATAAAGATGGTATCTTAGTTCGTCTCAGTCTTTGACACTCACTTCTTCACGTGTCAATAGCATATTGTTCTCGTATGATAGTCTTATAGCACTCCATACACTTTCAAATCTGACGAGTATCTGCGGAGCATCCGTCGCGTCTCCGAGAACGTCTTCGAATGGCGCACTCAGATCCGGTATCTCCTCGGTGGATATGCACGAGCCTTCTTGTTGCGAGAACATCGAGATGGTCTCTCAGTTGCCTCGAGCGTGCTTTGGTGAAGCAGTGAGATGAGGACTAGGATGGAGCTGTGGTGGCGAACGCGAAACAAGAACAACGGGACGCGCTCAACTTGAGCGCGACGGACTATCCCACGGCGCGCGTCGCGTGCCAAACGGGCGCCCATAACTTCGCGCACGTGGTCGCGTCAGAGCGGTGTGTGCCTTGTTCGCGCGTCAGTACGTTCCTTCGACCATCGGCTCGCGAACAGGAGGCCATCGCCTGACAATGTATTCTCCGAGGACACCAGGGTTCGCGCCGAGGACAGCGGGCTTAACGCCGCGGACGCCCATAACGCAACCTCCGCACAGTGCTGGCCTAAGAATACAGGGTACGCCGGTCATCTCCCGACCGGAACGGTAACTTGATTTCCTCGTAGGTCTACGGACGCACATAGAGCACCATCAAATTCCTTCGCCGATCGAAGCAATAGAGGCTGACAGGGACCGATGGGAGACGGAGACATTCTACACACTACCCGGCACGCATGTGCCGCTATCAACCACAGACTATGTCGCTATGGATCAAGGTGCGTTGCCTTGCACGGAGTAGGGGATCACTGCTTACGGACCCCAGGCAACTCGTCGCCCAAATATATCAGGCTGTCCACTTACAGCATACCGAATACCTCCAAACTCGCAGAGGAGTTGTGCGTCCCTCTGGCAGCCATCGTGCACCCATTCGCAGACCCCGATCCTCGAGAAGAGTCTGTGCCGCTCGTGGAATTTGGCGCGGAGGGACCACCACGATGTGCAAAGTGCCGGGCCTACATCAATCCTTGGGTAAATTGGACCGCGGGTGGCAATCAGTGGAAGTGCAACCTCTGCGGGCACGAGACGCCTGGTGAGTTGTACGCACGGCGCAGTGGCTGGATTCTGACGCGAATATCAGTAATACCGGAGTACTACAGCCCACTGGACAACAATCTCATGCGTCAGGACCAAGACCAAAGACCTGAACTCCGCAAGGGCACTATTGACTTTGCTGTGACGTCCGACGAGTACTGGGCTTCGCAACCTCTGGATCAGATGCTCCCGGCCTTGGCTCTCGATCCCTCATCCACCGACAAGTCTCATCTCAGGGCTCCTGCGCCTATGCGCTTCTTTGTGCTGCTTGATGTGTCCGGCGAATCCATCCGCTCCGGCTTTCTCTACGGTGCATGTGTGTCTCTGAAGGCTGCACTGTATGGTTATACTGCTGAAGACGGGACCGTCCAAACCGCACCATCGTTTCCTTCAGGGTGCTCTGTGGCTATTCTGACCTTCGACGAAGAGTTGCATTTCTACGATCTATCGGTGCGAGGCATCTCTCACGGTCTATGCGTACGTCTCTGATGGAATGAGTAGCCGAATCAGCCCGAGAGCAGGATGCTTGTCGTACCGGACATCGACGAACCATACTTGCCTCTACCACCGCCCTCCATATTCGTCGATCCTCACGAATCTCGGTATGCATCAATCCTCATCCACGTGCGCACCACTCAGTTTCATGCCCTAGGACAGTGATTGAACATCTTCTGGATAGCCTCGTTGACCGCTTTTCAGAGACACCAATCGGCGTCTCTTGCTTCGGCTCTGCTTTGCAAGCTGGGTTAGAAGCACTTGTACGTCTGCCCTCCAAAGCCCTTCATCATCATCATCTGACATACTCACGCAGGCTTCACATGGAGGACACATCGTCTCCTTCATCTCCGTGCTGCCGACTACTGGCCTCGGTGCTTTGCAACCCATGACCACTGCGGAGGAGTCTTCCGTCTACGATACGCCGAAGGAGAAGCAACTCTATGCACCACGGCGCATTGAGTGGAGCAACCTTGCGGACCAGCTCGCTGAGGCGGGTGTCGGCGTCAGCATCTTTATGGCACCTTCAAACATCATCGATGTCGCGTCAGTCGGTGCGTCTGGTTTCACAGATGTTATTTGCAATCACTCAACTGAAGCAGGTGCCGTTGCGACGACCACCGGAGGAGAGATGTTCTTCTATCCTATGTACAAGCCTCACCGGGATGGGCCCATCCTCGGCTCTCATGTAAATCGACTATTCTCGCGAACGACAGGATACAATTGTTCTGTACGAATACGTTGCTCACACGGTAAGCCTACAATACATTCTTCTGTGCGCTTGAAACTGATGTGGCGCAGGTCTTCGTATCGATGACTACTACGGGAACTTCTACATGTCTGGCCCTGCAACACCGACGATGGGCGTCCTTGATGCCGACAAGGCCATCACCTGTTCCTTCAGCGTGACCCGAGGGTTATCGTACAGGGAATACGCCCACTTCCAGACGGCCGTTCTCTATACAACTACGGCAGGCCAGCGTCGTGTGCGCGTGGTTAACCTGGCCGTACAAGTTGCTGAGCTGGCAGCGAATGTCTTCCGATTCGCTGACATGGACGCAGTCGTCACATATCTGACAAGACACTGTGCGTACTGCGACAAGCTACATGTATACCCACTAACGCAGTGCTCATAAGCAATATCACGGATGACGAAGGACAAGTTACCCGCAATACGGGATGACCTAACAGAACAATGTTCCGCCATCTTATTCGCGTATCGCAGGTACTGTGCCACAGGAAGCGTGCCCACACAGGTACATGCGCCGCACAGCTCCCTTGCACTATGTTCTGACTTCACTCGGGCAGCTCATCATCCCGGAGGCGTTCAGGGGTCTCCCGATGTACTGTCTCGGGATCCACAAGAGCAAGCCACTCAAAGGCCCGCCTCCCCGCTCTTCCCCGATTACCGCGCACTGACGCCAATACAGGCCGCAGCGTCACCGCGGACGTGCGCATGTTTCATGCACACTGGCTCAATGGTACTAGCGTGCGCCAAACCATGTTCAATCTATACCCGCGCAACATGGCGCTACACGACCTGGATGCAGTCACCGCGCTCCCGCACCCTGCCACTGGTATAGTGGAGATGCCTTCGCTCATGCGCTCAAGTTACCACTTCATGGAGGCCGGTGGACTGTACCTCATCGGTGCGTTCCCACTGCGCCTTCTTTGTGACGTGCGTGTGCTCATGACCTCGGTCAAAGATAACGAGGAACTCCAGGTGCTCTGGGTGGGAGCGGCGGCTAGCCCGCAGCTCATCCAGGACGTTTTTGGCGTCGACGATATTAACGCCGTCGACCCTTACATAGTACGTACTTCCCTGTCTATCTCTGCGCCCATCTGTCGCGCCATTGATCTGTTTCTCACCCTGCCGCTAACCTGCTTCGTCCCATAGGTTGCACTCCCAGAGCTTCCGACAACGCTTTCCCAGCAAGTTCGCAACATCATCGCGCGACGGGTACAAGAACGTGGTGGCCGGCTCTGCCGCTTTCTCATCGCCCGGCAGAACCTGGACGCATCCGAGATTGAGTACGCCGATCTGCTCGTCGAGGATCACAACAATGCTGCGCTTGCGTATACGGACTGTGCGCATGTCATCTGTCTCCAAGTTATTCTGATACTGAAGGCGTACTGTGCAGACTTGTCGCTTGTGCACAAGCAAATCACGACTGCAGTAAGCACCCTCGCTGGCTCGAGGTGCGAGCTGTACTAACGTTCGTACATAGATACAAAATGGACAAACGCTGACCCCAAGCGGTTCAAGCGGTATCCGAGCGCCTTGGTAGCGTCTCGTAATGCTCAGTACAGAAGTATAATGCGGGAGGTTGCTCGATACTACGTGTTTCATCATTGCTATCTCACGCGACTGTTTACTCTATATATATCGTCTCCGGTCTCAATCGACGATCTCGCCACCACTAGCAATGGACCCGTTAGCGATAAACAAGGTATCGCTCTGTCCGAGTTGTTGTCCGTTCTTGTCCAGCGCAATAACGGCAACCAGAGGCTCGCTGTTGTCCGAGAGAGACACGTTGGTCTCGAACCCTGTCCGAGTGACAGAGGTCCATATGCTAAGGTTGCCAGGCGATGACCCGGTCAATACATCATACGCACGCACGGTCGTTTTGCCGTTCCAGGAGAAGAAGGCCGTGTCGTTTTGGACGGCCAGCGCTGGTGGATCCACCGGGTTGCCCGTGAAGTTGACCTTGAACGCGCGGTAGCTCTGATGATAGGATGATGGATCAGCTAATTGTGAGCTGCTTTGTAGACGATCACTACTTACCGCGATGGCCCCGTTCTCGATGCTACCGTTGCCTAAAGACAAGGAAAAGGTCACGGTACCGTCGCTCGCGTGCTCGGTGATCCAAGGGTTTGAGCCGTAGCCAACAACGGCACTTCCGTCGGAGAATCGCTATGGGTATTGGCCATGAGTCCTGCAATGAAAGCCATGAGCTTCGTAACACACCTGCATGGAACCCTGGCTTGTACTAAAGCGTTGATGGGGTTCCGGGAAGAACTGCTGCTCTGTCGTGACCGTCCAGTTTGTGGTGTCATACGAAATGTAAAGTCCGTGTGCCACGGGTTCATCCACCTCCCAGCCTGTGCCTGCGTCATCGCTGCGCGATGAATGTAAGCATGCCGACGTAGGCGATATGAGAAGATCTTACAAGAGAGAGATGAAGCTGTTGTCTTCGGGGTTGAACCGAGCGTGATGTTGCCATTCGAATCTGGTCACGATCATGTCACTCCTCTGGGGCGGTAGCTGTGAATGTACGCGTACTGGGCACCCTCTCCGATGGTGAAGTTGCTGTTCTTCCCTCCTAGCTTCCAAATGATCGACTTATCGTCCTTGTCGATCAGGAGTAACTGGTGAAGATGCCTGCGTTCCCCCAGCTTAACTGCTGAGATCGCTGAGATTCCTGCAACGCAGACCAGGCTCACCGGACTGAGATCAAGTAGTTTCCATCCGCAGACTTGTCAATTGAGTTCATGTGGTACGCATCCCAGGCTGAATGGTCAGCTTCCACTAGGCTTCACTGCAAGAAGGTGAGCTCACACGCTATACTTCCTACACCATCGCCTGGAGTAGCAAACGACTCGAACGGCGAAACATGGTCGAACATGCTGTGCACTATGTAAGCCCTATGCCATCCTCTCTGTTGAGCATATGCTAACCTCCAATTGAATAGTAGGTTGCCTGTAGCGATATCAATTTCTTGTATGAGGCAGTCGATCAGCGTTCCATTAGTGGGCCCGCCGAACGGCGAAAGGTCGAAGTTCTCGATGTTGTTGTACACAGTGATCATTGCAGTCGTGTTATCAGGTCTGGGTATGGCGCACTTGATCTCACAGTAAGCACATGATTGGACGTATATATGATTGAACAAGATCCCACCTCATGTAAGTCTGTACCTTGCCCGCCAACTGAATTGACCTGTCCTACGATGGTGTATGTTTCATCAAGGATCCAGCACTGATTCAATGACGGATCAGACTTTGCTGTATCGCATGACGTAGCAGCTCACTGTTCCAGCACCGTGTCCGGCTAGGCCTGTCCCGTTCCAGACCGTTAACACGCTTGAACCATTATAATCTTGCAGGTTCAGATCAAAGGCCTGGCCGAACTCAGAGCTACCAACCCAGACAAGGGAGCCGTTTCGATCATATATCATAGGTCCAGGGGTAGTGATCAACGCAGAGCCAAGTGGCGTTGTAAGGTAGAGACTGTCGTCATCGTCGAAGCCGCCGATTTCTACGATGCCCAAGACGCCGCGCACGCCGGGAACAGACACGTACTGCAATAAAGCCAGTTAGTATCGTCGATGAACACAAGCAGTGACAAGAACTACCTCCTGTGTTACGGTTTGTCCAATTGCGCGAGTCAAGACACTGAACAGCGCAGCTAGGGCGAATACGAGTCGAGGGCCCGACATGAGCGAAGCGCCGGATGACGGTTCAGTTCAGCGTCCTTCGTCGATGCTCCCCAAAGAGCTTTATACTGGATTTTGTATGGTGTAGCTATTCGTAGCACGGATGTTCGGCTGATGAAGCCCGTGAGCGCTCAAATGCTGAAACTTGTTGACGTATTGTATAGAGGCTCGTCGCAAGAGGAAACTCCAAAGCGTAAGAATTGACATGCCCACCCGGCCCTGGATCGCCACTGCCTTCGGAACGGTGACGGTTCGTGTTACCTTCCCATGTGGTGCATAACGCACATGCTATGAGAAATTACAGGTCTAGAGATAATAGGGCATCACCGGTGTTTGGGCACTATTTAAGAGCGAATTATCGGCAACGACTCCTTGTGTACGTGAAGCGTGAAGATATGGTTTTGCGGTTCTTCTGAGAGAAAGAACAGCCCTGTCTTCACATGAGACCCATATAGTGCGGCCAATACGCAAGATGGTGGATAGAGGCAAGGAGCGACATAAGCGATGCTTGCACAGATGACTCCGGCCCGGGAGTCCGAGACCTGCCGGCCGAAAAGCCGACGGCACGCGCTTCGCCAACATCACACTGTACAACTCGCAGATGGCATTGGCAGGCATACACGAATGATAATAGAAACAGGAAGCGATGTTTATTACAATGGTACACGTAAGCTGACCGATCGTCCAATCTCCCCATCAGTTATACACTTGACCACCCTGCGCCACAGACCCATTCGCAACGAACAGCACATCGCTCTGTCCCAGCTGCTGCCCATTCTTGTCCAACGCAACGACGGCGACTAGAGCGTCTTCGTTTCCAAACAGTGAGAGATGAGTCTCAAAGCCCGACCTACCCACCGACTGCCATACAGTAAGATTGTCGGCAGTCGCACCGCTCATCACATCCCAAGAGCGTACAGCCGTCTTACCATTCCAGGAGAAGTACGCCGTGTCGAGAAGAAGAGCTAGTGCGGGCGGGTAAGTCGGATTGCCGGTGAAGTTGACTTTGAAGGCACGGTAGTTCTGAGATCGCGTCAGATGACATTGTTCGAGAAAGGGGCCCATCTTGGAGGGTAAGGCTTACCTCCCAGAGGCTATTCTCCACGATACCGATGGCCAGAGAAAGAGAGAACGTCACTTTGCCATCGCTAGCATGTTCGGTGATCCACGGGTTCGAGCCGTAGCCGACGACGGCCGTGCCATCTGCGAACCTCTGTATGATATATCAGCTTCGTCCCTCCTAGCTCGGACTGAAGGCGTGTCGCATACCTGCATAGAACCCTGACTCGTGCTGGGGCCGCTGTAAGGCGACGGATAGAAGCTTTGCTTGGCAGTGACGGTCCAGTCCGAGGTATCATACGAGATGTACAGGCCGTGTGCGTCGGGCTCGTCGATCTCCCAGTTCGTAGCGCCCTCGTCGCTGTGAGAGGTTGTTTGCGTGCCGTCGGAGTAGAGTGTTGGGTTGCACTCACAAGAGCGAGATGAATGAGTTGTCGTCGGGGTTGAAGATGGCGTGGTGCTGCCATTCGAACCTACACGGTGTCAATTTTAGCGCACGGTAGCGAGAGCGCAGCGGAGAGCCTACTGTGCGCCGTCGCCGATGGTGAAGTTGCCATCCTTGCCGCCCATACGCCATATGATCGAGCCGTCATCCTTGTCTATGAGAATGAGCTGGTGCAGATGCCTTATATGGGGTGGGACTCGTTAGGTATGGAGGTGCGGTTGAGAAGGAGTCGACGAACCTAGATGAGATCAGGTAGTTGCCGCTGGCATCCTTGTCGATGGAGTTGACATGGTAAGCATCCCAAGCTGCCGTTGTCATTGTTGAGCTAGATAGATCAAATTTGGAAGCATACTCCTGGACGTACTGTTGAGACTGCTGACCCCTTCAGATGGGAGGGCATAGGATTCGAACGGAGAGATATGGTCATAGGTGCTGTTGGACATTCAGCGTCGATATACTCAAACCACGACACCATGCCTACCTCCAGTTGAAGAGCAGCTCTCCAGTAGCGATGTCGATCTCTTGAATCCAACAATCAAGGAGTGTTCCGTCAGTCCCTAGACCGAAGGAAGATAGGTCGAAGCCCTCGATGCTGTTGTACACGGTGATCATGGCCGTCGAGTTCGTATCCTTGGGAATGGCGCACTGCATGGTGGGCACATCAGTAGACGTAGAAGACCAATATTGTTCGAAGAGCTCGCCTCATGCAAGTCCGTGCCGCCGCCACCGACCGAGTTCACCTCTGCGATAACGGTATAGGTCTCGTCCATGACCCAGCACTGATGATCATGAGTGTCTGCGCATCAAACAAACGCGGAGAGATGAACTCACGGTTCCCTGTCCATGCCCATCCGTAATCGTTCCGTTGAATACCGTCAGTACAGGCTGGCCTTTGTAGGTCTGAAGCTTGAGATCAAACGACATCCCGAAGTCGGCCCTTCCGATCCACACGAGCGAGCCGTTACGGTCGTAAATCATCGGGCCAGGGCTGGTAATGAGACCAACGGGCGTCGTGAGGTAAAGGCTGTCGTCGCCATTGTAGCTCCCCAACTTAAGGTGCGCGACGACGCCGCTCACGCCGGGAAGGGAGACATACTGTGGATGCATGAGGTCAGTCAAGCTATGACCGGACTCTGTAGAGGCAAACGTACCTCTTCCTGAACGATCTGCGCGTAGGTTAAGGACGACAGGGACAGTAGAGGCACGAGAAGACTAGTCAGCATCTTCGAACTTGCGAGCTCGCTATTGGCATCGGTCGCTCACTGGCCACTTTATATCTGTGGCCAGAAGCCGAACCCCGTCCCTGTGTCCGACAGTTCGCAAGTCGAAGAATGATGCTCTTTGGTAATGGATCCAGTTTATCGGAGTGGTTGAATAGACAGCGAACTCGTAGTGCAGGGGACTGTCGCAGCACGAGGCTACGAAGCCAGTTGGGACGAGCACAACGCTCTCGAGACGGGCCGCGACCGCCGTTGGTAGCTGAACAACTCGGTCAACTGGCTTGATGGCACAAGTTTATACGGCATGCGGCTCCCATGCGAAGAGGTATCGGCCGAGAGTAGAGTCGGCGACCTTCTTCGCCGGCAGGCTACTGAGAGGTCAGAAGATGGAATTGAGCAGGGCAATCATGCGAAGGAACGGACATTTGAACTTTAGTGACTGTGATCCGTACAGAGCTTTGACAGATCTATAAAGTTGGTCTGTACGAGACAGCGTTGTTAGTACACTATATAAATCCCAAAGGTCTTCTGGACCTATGGTGGTCTTTCCGAGAATATTCCAGCGCAGGAAGCTCAAGCCTGAGGCTGAGCTTTGTGGACTTGGTAGCATGTTGGGGGGTGGGCAACCGGTGGCTTGCTGGATGCACGTTGTTGGGCAGGGAGCCGCTCGTTGCACAATCGGTTCATGCTCACAGCCATCCTATGACGCGTGCATGCATATCCTAGCCTGCCGATACGAGCAAGGCTGGCTTCTATGCGCACTGCGCGTGTACTGCGCGTTAAGGGCGTTCATCTTCCTGGTTGGTGAGCCCGGGCTGAGCTCGCTGCGAAACACGCCTTCACGCGTCATCAAAACGAACGGTGACCCGATCAGCGACGTCGCAGGTGCCTAAACGCTTCTTCGCGCCACCCAAAGAAGACAAAGCGAGAACAATGGACCGTTGTCAGGTCGAGGCCATGGTCGTCTGGCGGAGGCATCGAGCGCGCCTTTTCAGGCGGCCATTATAAAGCGTGGGAATTAACGATGTTGAACCATGCCTCGTACGCGCGCCTCGGTTGCTGTTCCTCCGCCTCTTGCTTTCTAGCTCTGGCCACGCGCGTCCGAGCTTGCACGAGCCATCTTCCGCTCGCTGTGGCCGGCCCATTGTCTCTCTTTTTACTCGAACCACCACCACCACCTCCAGCGACAGCGCGACTTGGACGAGGATGGCGACGGAGGTGCCGGCGCACGTGTCGTCTGCGGCCGACATGCGGACGAACCTGCAGGCGCTGCTGGACTTGAAGGAGAAACAGCTCCAGCAGGCGGGCGCACTCGGCCAGCGCGTCCTCGCACAGCAGGTCGAGCTCGAGGACCGCGTGCGAATGTTGCAGGACATGGAACTCGATCGCCCGGACGCGGACGAGATCGACGCCGAGATGCGCGAGCGCTACCGTGAACTCGCAGAGACAGTGCGCGCGTGGGACACCGAGAACGCGACCCTCTCGAGCGGATTCGGCGTGAAGGTGTGTATTATTTCGCTGGACACATCTGGTTGGACGGACGGAGCGGCGATCTTGGTCATATTTGATCGCCTGTTTGTCAACCGACGCGCCCGCTCCATTCCTCACCGGCTCAAGGCCACCGAAATGACTGGGCGGTATTAAACGCGGCATTCTTGGGGCTTATTCACGACGTTCGTTTTGATGCGAGGCAACTGTCAGCCCGAACTGGGAATATAGCATGCCGTAACCAACGCGTCGTCGAACCGAATAGTCATCCGTGACATGACGCCGCCCAGCGTTCCTCTATTCCTGACACCTTTGATCCCGTCTTGCTTCCGTTTTCTGAATATATTGCTCACACTCTGTCACATCAGCGCGCCACAGGTCCCTCTGCGCGAACATCACCCGCCCTCCCCGCCGTCGAACTCTCCCGCGAAGAAACCGAGCGGCCACGGCCAGCCGCCAGCTCATCCAACGCCCAATCCCGTCGAGCCAAGAATGCAGCGCATCGGCAAGACGACGTCGGTCAGTATCACGTTGTTTTTGCGCCCTGAATGTATCTAATGCGGCCAATCAGAGTTTGCCTTCGAAATTGGCAGCGGACTGCTCACCGAAGTACGGAGGTTGCAGAGTCTGCTGGGCGAACGCGACAAGGCGATACAGGACATGAAGGAGGAGAAGGACGATCTCGAACGAAGCATTGAGGCTTTGCAGAAAGCCCTCAAGCAGCAGGAGCAGAGTACTGGTAAGGTATATCGTTTTGCACGGATGGTTCACGCAGTTAATGTTACATGACAGACAAGTACAAGGAGGAGAATTGGAACCTGGAAGTTATGCTTCAAGAAATGCGCACGCAACTCACGGACACCCAAGCGAACGTCCAGCGTCTCGAAGGCGAACACAAGCGTTTAACGCGCGCGTTGAACCAAACGCGTGAAGCCGTGGACAAGCACAAGAACGAGGCCCAGACGTTACAGACGGCACTCGAGGAGCTCAAAGCCAAGCACGACACGGATGTTGCTCAGGCCCGCAAGCATGCTGCAAGCCTGCAGCGTGATAAAAGCGACCTCCAGCAGAGTCTTGACAGTCTCAAGGCCGATGTGCAACGCAACGGTCGGCGCCTTGGTCCGAGGTTCGGCTCGCCTTTGACGCCCGACGGGCGCCCCGCCACAGGAAACACGAGCTTGTTGACGCCCAATGTTGATCGGGAAGAAGACGACGTGTTCGGCACGCACGGCGCCAGCACAAATAGGCGCCGTGGCGAGGGAGCATACTTCGATGGTCTTGGCGAATATGACAGTGAACCGGACGCCTCACCCACACGGCCGACCGTTGCGCCGAACCACCCCTCGAACGAAGTCGAGGCGCTCCAACAACGTCTTGCGCATGCTCAAAGGCAGATCAATACGCTCAAGGGCACACTTCAGCGTGAGAAGGAGGCCAAAATTGAGTACAGGAAGCGCCTCGAGTCGCCCGGCGGTCCCGCTGCATTCGGCGCAGAGGCCGATGAAGAGGAGGACGAGGATCTGGTTGGTGAGAATGCCGATCCCAACGCTAGTGCACGGTCTATTGCTGGTCGTAAGAGCACGCCGTTCCGCGTTGGCCGTGGTCGTGGTCGCGGACGCGGCGGCTCGCTCATGGACCGCTTGCAACGCGCCGCCAAGCGACCGGCTGAAGACGACGACGACGACAATAACCCGACGCTCACGCCGCCGCCACCAGTTCCCTCTCTCCCACGTCGCACTTCGTTTGCCGGTGCAGAAGCAGACGACGATGCGGACGACTTTATGGCGCCCGATATGTCACTCGCCCCCTCTGAGCCACCGAGCAGACCAGCAAGTATCGACGGCATGGACCCGGCCTTTGCCAATGTTCTCAAGCGCGCAGGCAGTCAGTCAAGCATACGTGGTTTCCAACGCAGCCCTCTGCGTCAAAGCACTCTCGGCCGACGCAACCGTGGCGGCGCAGCCTTCCAGCAAGCGCGCCCCGCGAGCCTTGTTGGCGCACCTGAGGCACTGGCCGCCGAGCTCTTCGGCGATATGCAAGTCGGCATGGACAGCGTCGCCGAGGACCACGACGAAGTGATGCCCGTCGAGACGGCTGAATTTGGGTGTCAAACTGAGCCCATCCCTGAACCCGAGCCCGTGTACATCACGCTCCCTGCACCCGAGCCTGAGCGGATCGTCGTCACTGTTCCCGCAGAACGGCCCGAAAGCTCAGAGGCAAGTGTGCAGGTTACTCCTGAGCCTATTCCGGAGCCCGTCAAGCCGGTATACATGAGCTTCGAGGTCCAGACCGACGCCGAACCAGAGGTCGTATTGCCTGTATATGCCAGCGCGGATATTCAGACTGAGCCGGAGCCGGAGCCGGAGCCCATCGTGGAGGAGTCGCCGAAGGTCGTGTACGCCAGCATGGAGATGCAAACCGACCCCGAGCCGACACCCGAGCCTGCGCCTGTTCCAGTGCCGCTGCCGGTTGTCGAGGCCGCTCCTAAACCTGAGGTCGCAGACGCGGAGATGCAGACCGATGCAGAGCCCGCACCGGCACCCGTACCGGTACCAGAACCGGAGCCACCTGTTGAGGTCGTACATGCAGGTGTTCAGCACGAGGACGTTGCGCCGCCCAAGACGTACGCAAGCAGCTCGATGGAGACAGATCCGATGCCCGAGCCAGAGGCAACGCCTATCGCCATCCCCGTGCCCCTCCCCGAGACTTCCGTCGCAGAGGTGCAGACCGACGCTCAGCCTACTGTCCCTGCTGCTTCCGTCGTCGCTGCTGCTCTCGGCCTTGGTCGTCCCTCGGGTGCACGTGTTGACGAGAGCAGGCGCCAGACCATCACCCAGAGCTCGTTCACCTCCTCGCGCGACCTCAGCGCGGACGCTACCATCACCGCTGCCATCTACGAGGCTGCTGAGGAGAGCGAAGACGATGCTGCTACCGAGACTGGTGCGGAGACCGAGACCGAAACGGACGGCGAGTTCGTTGATGCCAGGAGCGTGATGGCGATGACGACGCCAACGATGAGCTTGAACGAGTACGCGTCGGCACGCAGTGACGACGAGGACGATGCAAGTGTTCGGCCGTCGTCTACGCCTGCGCGTTCGCTCGATGCGTTCTACGCGCCTCGTGTGGTGTACGAAGATGCGAGCGTGCAGTACGAGTTCGAGGAGGCGCCCAAGCCCGCGCCCGCGCCCGTCACTGTCGTGCTCCCGCCACCACCACCGCCTGCACCAAAGGCGGAGGTCAAGGAGATATCCATCCAGACAGACGAGTGGGCACCAGCGCCTATACTCCCGCCAGCTTCTGCCGCCATGCCACCGCCGCCATCCCCCGCAGGCGCGAATAACTCATTCCGTATGCCCGGCTCCGGCTTGCAACAGTTCCAGTACATCTCGCCCCCGTCATCCGCAGGCCCGACACAGACGAGTATGCCAACGTCTCCCATTGCCCCTCGCGAGCCGCCTGTCTCGCGCCCACGCACATCGACGTCCGACCGGCGCCAATCAATCGAGAGCGCAATGTCAGGTTACGTCGACGATCCTACACCGCGCGGTCGCCTTTCATCTGCGCCGATCCCCGCGTCATCGTCACCCGCGCCCGTTGACAAGTCGCGCCCGCCGATGATGATGCTCCCGCCGCCACCACGTGCTCCGCCACCGGCGAATAGTATGCCGCCGCCTTCTTTCGTGCCCGAGCGTGTGCGCCAGACCTCCGGGAGAGATCTTCCCCCTGGACGCCCCAGTTCGCCGCCGCCGCCGGAACTCTTGCAGCGCGCCACTACACCGACGTTCGGCTCTGTACGCAGTCACTTCGGGTCGATGCGCGCGCCGGGCAGCAGCATGCCACCGCCCGCTGCACTCAACCAGCGTCCCAGCACGCACAGCTTCCGTTCGGCAGGCCAGCAAGGCTATATCCCTGCGAGCTTACAGAGCGCCTTTGCCCACCGCGAGATGAGCCAGACCAGCCTTCAAAGCGGTGGGAGTATCGGCTCCGCGCGTTCATCTATCTCGAGCGACCATCCATACTACCATCAACGCGGTATGTCGGCTGGCGCGGCAGCTGCCGCGCGCGGCGCACCGGCAGGCGGAAGCACCGAGTCGTCGCCCGCTATGAACGGCTCTACAGATCCGAGCGTTATTCACGCTATCACTCAGACGATGATCGGTGAATATCTCTTCAAGTACACGCGCAAGCCCATCGGCAAGGGATACGGCGACAGGAGACATAAACGATTCTTCTGGGTGCATCCGTATACCAAGACGCTGTACTGGAGCGACACAGACCCGGGCTCGTCGTCCGCAAGCGAGTCTAGCGCGAAGAGCGGTATGTTCATTTGTTCATCTGTCCACATGATGATATTGTTGCTGATGGCCTTCGAATATCAATAGCGTACATCGAGGCGGTGAGGTCGGTGCTTGATCCCAACCCGCTCCCACCGGGCTTGTACCAGTACAGTGTTGTGGTGTCGACTCCGCATCGCGAGATGAAGATCACCGCGCCTACGAAGGAACGCCACGATATCTGGTTGAACGTAGGTCACCGGCTATCTCGATCTCTGTGCATACTCTAACTCAAGATTCACAGGCGTTGAAGTACTTGCTCGCTCGTCCGAATACTGTCGGCGGCCCTATGGGTGGTCCCATGAGTGGCCCCATGGGCGGCACCATGCCTCGCGGAGGTCCCAGGCCAATGAGTCCCGATGGTCTCTCCACGGAGCTTCCCCCCACCGAGGAGGGGCGGCCAGCGGGACTTCTATCCAGTCCGCAGAGTTTCCGTAGTCAACGGAGCACGAACGGCGAATGGAATATCACTCCACGCGGTCAGCGCTCACGCTCGCAAATCTCTATGGGCGGATCCATCGGTAAACGCTCGGGCACACCTGCGGCTGAGTATTTGCGTTACGCGAACGACGGACCGTACAGTCCGACGAAGAGCTTCGAACACGTCGGTGGGCCCGGTGCGACAGATGAGGACGAGGATCTGGATTTCGAGCTCCACGACGACTCTTTGTCGGACGGTGGCTTCGAGGGTTTGGAGAACGTCCGTGCTTGCTGCGATGGCAGGCATACGGTCGGAGGACATCATCATCATCACCATCACCACCATGAGCACTCCCATGCACCTCCGACGCGCAACGGCTCGACACAGTCCTATTTGCAAAACGGGCCTCAACCACGCGAGCGAAGTCGTGTCCGAGGCGGACAACAACACCTCGACGCGCAGCCTGTCGACCCGCGGCCTTCGAGCCCGGCCTTCTCATTCCGATCCCGCGCGGGTAGTACGACGTCTGATGGCGGAGGACTGTTCGGCGGCAAGCTTCGTTTCGGTTCAAGGCGGATGAAGACGCCTGTACCCCAGGAATCATAGCCATTCGCGCATCCTTTGTCCTAGACACCACTGTTGTTCTTTCTCTCCCTTTCCGTCTCTCTGAGCACCCCATATCACTTTTCTCTCTTGACTCGCTTCGTTCTCCGTCTCGACTGCGATATGCGAACCCCATCTTCTTTCATCTGCGCACTGATTATTCTCCATTGGATCTCTCCCGTCTTTCGCTGACCCTTACTCGCCGCATGCCGCTGCTCTCAGGCCACCATACTCTCTTTCATAATCGAATTGCCCTGTGTTGCCCGCTCCAAGCCCCAATCATTCAAGACACATGTACATCGACTCGAATCACCGTTGTGCGATTATGCCCTGCGTCTGCCATCCCCTCTACCTCTCGCTTACTCGAACCTCGATATACCTACTGTTTTCCATTTTAGTCTCTGAGCTTGTCTCCTTGTTGGATACCTTTGCGCAGTTGAATTGAAGTTCTTCGTGCTCGTACCTGCGCAGCTCTGGATCCGACACTTGTACTTGAGATAAGGAGGAAAGCGGGTACCTGCAATACATCGTACAGTGTAGCGTCGTAGGTGAATGTCAGATGTCGGGTAGGGATGTGGGCTATCCCGTTGTGGGCGCGCGAAAAAACATCGGCAACATCCGGTTGATCCATGTTCGTTTTCTCGTGCAATGTGCCTCAAGCCCATCCGGCATCCCTTTTCCCCGTTCTGTACGAACAATCGCTTCATCACTCTCAGAATGAGTCCCATGGATGTCGAGGACATACTGAACGACGCTCTCGACCTCGTCGGTGGTGAATCAGCCGACCTGGAAGATGAAAAGCTGACGTACGGACCCATCACCGTGAGCGTAGCCCCTAAAGTATGTTGCTGCGGTACGATATTCCGGCTATAGACGATGCTCAAGATGTAAAGGAAGGGAAGGTTTGAACCGCGTCTTTGCCCCGTTGGTGTTAGTCTCGATCTGAGCCTGGCTTTACAGGCCAACACGCTGCTAGCAGATCATATCTTTTCTCCGTCGCTCTTACTTGCTGAACGTATCGAACGCGGACTGCTAACTGTCAGCGGAAAGAACAGTGAGACAGTCTCGTCCGATCATTCCTCTTGACATGTACTGATTGATCTCGGTCAAGTCATAGAGCTCGGCGCAGGGTACGTACGACAGCGCGGCGGGCCCTACTTTCCGTGATAACAGTGCGATGGACTGACGAGTCATACAGTACAGCATTGCCGAGTCTCATCGCCTCCATTCAGACACCTCCGCCGCGCTCTGTACTCGTGACGGATTACCCTGATGAAACCATCCTTGGAAGTTTACGCCAGAATATCGCTCGGAATTCTCAGTATGTTTCACGGAGCTGCCAACTCGAGTTTGCGGGCTACGAGTGGGGCCAGGACGTGACCCCATTATTGTGAGCCCATGTCAGGTACTGGGGACCATCGAAGACTGAACAACTACGCAGCGAGGCGCCAGGCCGTCCCCGTGGAGGCTACGACGTCGTGATTTTATCTGATCTACTGCATTTCGACCAATCGCACGAGGTCCTGATACATTCCCTCACAAAACTTCTCTCGAAGACGCGGGACGCTCGCGGATGGATCGGTGCGGGCGTATACACTCGCCCTGAGCACTGTAAATCGTTCTTACGCCGCGCCGAAAAGGTCGGTCTGCGTTGGCTCGAACATGGCGACGGCGAAGACGGCCGCGAGACCGACACGACATGGCGCGGGACGCTGGCAGTCCAGGGACTCGATGCCGAACAACTCGGCGTACGGAAGGGCATGTGCCGGTGGTGGATTGCAGCATGGGACGAGTCTACTTTATCGTGAACATGTCAGTGCAATACGTCTGATGTTTCCTGCGCGACATACACCTTCTGACGGTCTTCGAATCCCCAACATGGCAGGTCTTTACGCTCAAAGCTTCTCCTCCGTAGAACAGCCCTCTGTTTGCGTCTCTCTCTGCCTTGAGCGGACATATACGAAGTCCATGTGCCAGATGATTCTCGACGAGGAGCTCTACCACGAGGATGAACTGCTGGGCTATTCTCCCCGCTTCGCACTTGAAAGATGCTCTTGTCCTAGCACCGCGTCGGTACGCTGAGCCCAAGCTTCTGGTCACGTCAGGCACTCAATACTTTGGCGCACGCGAGTAATGCTACGTACAGCAACCCCGTCAAGCTTAGGGATCGGAGGGTCATACGTGCCGACGTTCACTGCGCATTCCGCCGGTGACTTCGGCATAGATACGACGCACGGCGACGTGCATGTCTTTACGCCCGCATTGAAATGTGATGATGTAGTTCTGTGGGAAACATCCCAAATGCATTTCAAGTGCACTAGGCTTGGACCAGTTTGCTTTGCCTCACCGCGAGGCCTCTACAAAGAGTACTAGTCAATAACTGAGGCCGATCAGAAATTTTTCACAGGTCTGTAGGCGACTCCTACACACTACTCCCAGTGTCGATGGCCCGTCGTCCAGCATTGCGCGGCGCAATCAACCCTATGATCAAGCTTGCTGTCGCGGTGACTGCGTCTGTGCAAGTGCGGAAGAGAATCGGTGCCAGCAAGCGGACGGTCCAGCTATGCACCACTCTCTCATGCGGAAGGAGCGTCCCGACCTCACACTTGGGGACCCCTCTCTGTCGGGGTTATCTGCCTCGGCGCAACCCCACTCGCTGTTGTATCATGTTCTCTCTTGTGTAGTCATAACGATCTGCGCCTTAGATTAAGGCTAGATGCAGGTCGGATAGGGTTTCTAGGGCTATTCTCCACCTGCAGAACCCCCGCGACGACTCTATTGTCGTGCTTTCTCGCTGTGGCATGGTTCCCCCCCGGCTGTCTCCAGCAATGCATAGGAGACCGTTGCCGGCGTACAACCGGTGTCTTCGCGGCTCTCATTGCGCCCTATGGATCAGAGGCGGTCGCGAATGGAAGTGCATGAGCGTGTCTCACGTCCAAGTGGGTAAATATGGTTTCTTTCCTGCGAAGAGCTTCGGAGATCTTTGGCACACGCTGTCCCCTTGTGGCGTAAGAACGAACTGTACATAGCGGAGTTTCTGTTGTTCGGTTTGCTTCGTGTCTGACGCGTTGACGGCTGGAGATACGCATGACTCGGGGTTCATCCTTACGCAACTCAGATAAGTTGGATCGCCTGCAATACGGGCCCATTCGCAGGGCAAGGGCTTACGGTTCACCGGGTCGGGCAGACAGCCCGCCTGCAGTGCGTTCGAAAGACAGCCTTTGTTTGGCCAATGAGACTGACCGATTACCAGAATCCGCCCGAAGCATGCTAGCAGAACGCACGTACGCCACCCGCACTCCGTCCCTAATACTCACGGCTCGGGCATCGGGTGAGCAAAGTCGGATGAGTGTATGATCAGGGGGCCGCATGAATGAAAGGCACAGGTAAGCGCGTACAATTCAGTGACAGCGTTGCGATCTACGTTGCCTTCGACGAAGCCCATTAGACGTAAACGTGCGGGTGACCATGCTCGAACAGGACGGGTACCCCTGTTTCCGCATCGGCATGCTGGTCTAGGCTAGCACGAGCTGATAGATGCTTCAACGCTACGCCATATCGCTGGGCCCTTGTGGGAGGTTGTGGGCGCGCGTGCACATGGATTCCGGCCACAACATTCGGCGTCGATGGCTGGCCGATATGAAGGAACCGTGAACTATGACGAGTACTGAGCGGCTCAACGATCCGAACGCCGTACTACAACTGAAGCGTCTCGATAGCGATCTGGTATTCGCCTTGTAGAGGCTCCTCCTATTTTTCGATGATAAAGTTATATGGCGCGGGGTATTCACAGATGGAGGATTCTTCATAGGGGAACAACTCTATAGTCTTATGCTTGATCAGAGCCACAGGGTACGTCTCTCCGGCGCGACCTGATACAGACGGCGGAGCTCGAATGCTGCGCTGCGCCCAACCATAGACAGCACCGTACCGACAATCCCCTGCACAATCTAGATGGTGACTGAGCCGTAACATGATCAGTCACGAACCTAATCTTGAAACGAATACACCAGAAAGCTGGCTGTATCCGACTTTGCCTCAGAGGCCTTGTGCATTGTAGACGTGCCGGTCAGGACGGACGAGGGTGTCGGATAATCCGGCGAATAAAGTAGGTTTCAGAAATTGACCGTGCCAAGAACGCCGGTCTTCACTTCTTCATCGCAAAGTCAAAGGTCGCCGCCGGCTTTGACGTGTGGTGCGTCGAAAACGGGGACGGCGCTTGCTCTTCGCAGCCCGATGTGATGCCTGCGGGTCAAATGGGGAGCGGGAGATCTTGGGTGAGAAGCTGACCGTTTTGGCTTTGAGACGGACGATCCCCGTCGTGGGCCACCGACCGGCCGGGAGAGAGCATACAGATGCAGCTTGCTACGGGGCATAAACTAGAACCTGTGCGGCATCGTGCCCTAAACCGCATGCTCAGCCGTACTTAGAACAGCGCACAAGATCCCGTCAGTCACGATTCCCTCGCCCCCGCCACATCGTTCGAACTGTACTTTCCGAACGCGCCTCATCTCGAGAAGTCCTGCCAGAACTCTCATCGCATCATCAACATCTTACACAGGCTTCCCCGCTCCCCGAATCCCACGTTCGGCTTCGGTATTCAAAAGACAAAAGGCTGAACTCGTACTTGTGTTGATCACCGACTCTTTATCCATGGCCGTTGCAATCCCTCGTATGCCCGCTCCCATCTCGTCCTCTGGGTCGCCATCTATGGCCTCTTGGTACTCCCAACGGCGCTCGGCGAGCTCCTCCTACTTGCCGCACCCTGCCTGGCCTCAGCAGGCAACCGCCGCAACAACAACGTGGTCATCCACGGCGCCCGTCCAGTACGGCGGCTCCGAGTTTCTCGTCGAGGCCAACGACTACGCCAACGACTACGCATCGTCGTCCGATGACTTTCTCGAGCAGTTCGTCGAGAGTCCGAAGAGCGTCGGTGAGGTTCGAGCGCCCTCGCCCCAGGTCCTCTACTCTCTCCCGGACACCTTCGATCCGCGTGGTAGTCAAGCGCAGGAGAGTGCTGTCAAGGCCGAGCCGTCTGCGACCGATGCATTTGTCTTTGATAACAGCAACGTAGCACGCGGTCCGGCGCTTACCCAGTTTGGCTCTTGTAGCCAGGTCCCTCTACGCGCGACCCAAGCGAGTAAAGAGATGCGGGCGTTGATGGGAGTCTTCCGCATAAATCCCTTCGCGTTCCACGGCGGTCCGCCCCCACCAAATGTTGCTGGTCCGCTCGCGACGCCCGGGAAGCACTTTGAGTGGCAGCTTCCGACAGAGGTTTCGGAAGAACGAGCGCTTCAGGACGCGTATGATGCTACACACGAGATCCAATCGGCACGGTACGACGTTGGTTCGGAGGCGCAAGATCCGTCGTACGGGTATCCACCCAGCACATTGGCATCTCGGCGGTCAGCAACACAACTGTCCGGCTACAGCTCTCCGTCGTACATTGGCAGCTCTTCAGGTTAGTCGTCTGGATGGGTGCTTAGAACATCATTCATAAGATGATACTTCAGGATCATATCCTCACTCACGGACGTATCCCTCGCCGTCCGCGAAGGTGGAGTACGGTTACCCGCTGCCGGAACTTGCAAGAGAAGCCCAAGCATCTTGGACGACATATCCTACTCGAGCCAGCGTGGCGTCGTCCGCGGGCGGGTCGCGCCCGGGCACGTCCGGCACAGGGTATTCCGGCGAGACATATCAGGTTTGTTCTCGTTCGTCGCCACTGTTGGAGAATGAAGAGCTGACTACACGTGCATAGGGGGTCCATGATACTCACACGGTAGATGTGTCATCAGGCCGTTACGTCCCTGCGCACAGGCAATCGTACGACGAACCGCAGTCATACTACCATGCGGGTCATGGTAGCGGCTCGATCTATTAGTTGTTGAGCGCTTGTTGCCCGTCGCGCCTGGGCCTCCATTGTTGGACTCATATTGCACTTATCATCATCGTCGTATGGCATCGTCTACTTGCTCATATCTTCTTGCTCATTCACTCCTGTCCTTTTGATTACCCGCAACCTGTATTAACAACGTCGTACTGCTGTTACGTTTATCTAGAAGCCTTGAGTTATCAGCACAATGTCATTTCTTGCACGCATTTTCCCGCCGCGCATTGAGAGCGTTTCTCTGAAGTCCCGCATATTGCAGCTGTGACTCCGTAACGCAGCGCTGATGAGGTGCTGAACCAGACATGTGCCGTATACGCCCACATGGACCGTTTCCTGACGCTGACGCCCTGATACGTGGCGCCGTAATAGGATAGCCACATCGAGTTATAGCCGGAGACCGGGCTACACAGAGTGCGGCCTGCTTGAGTAATCCCATAAGGCATGAACATTCCGACGGGCCTTGCATAGGCGTGGTCGGGTACAGACTTGTCGTGGTGAACGAATTTGAGTTAAAGCGAACAACCATTCGCCGTATGGTCGAAACCCCATTTTTCGCCACGCACCGGAGACTTTCTTGCAATCCACTCAGGCCTCTAAGATAAGATTACTGCGGCCCGCCATCATAATTGAAGCATACATGAGGGGAGAGTCAATAGTTAATGTTAAGTATCATGGTCGTTCAAGCTGGAACTTGGCGCTTCGTCGGCGCGCATTGAAGATGTCGGAGGCCCGGACCGACACACGTGGACATCCCGAGCACGCGAGCACGCGCCGCTGTTCAGCAATTGCGCGCTCTTTCTCCTCGCCCTTACCCACCATCACCATAATCAATGTCACTCACAAATATCTTGATATGGCGTTCGACTCTCTGTGGGACGCGAGGACGTGACGGCAAAGCGCGAAGTTCGAACCCTTGCGAAGTCACACGGGGGTACTCGTCGTGTCATTCTGGAGGTGTTCAACATTTAGGCTCTAGCTCTGCCTTTAGAGTGTCTTTCTCGCACAGCGGGTTAGCTCCGAAAGTATCGCTCGCTTCTATCCTTGAGCGCTTCCTTGTACGCCCACCCTCCCGGCTTGTTGTCGGAGTAGGGTGCCTTGTCAGGACGGCAGACGTCGACAAAGAACAGCGCGCTCGGTTCTAAAGCGCTTCATGCGTATCATCGTTCAAAAGAGTACCTCGCCTCGGCCCTGTTTACAGGATCATGATACACACGGCCTCACGGGCACACCTCACGCAATAACAGTTGGGTCTTCTCATCCAATAGGAACTCCGCGGACTAATGTTCCGACCTACGTCGCCAGCGCTTCGCTCGCCTCTCGAGTTCAGATCCTCTCATGAGGACTACATCCGTGAAGTGATCGTAATATGGACCCCGCACTTACCGCGTCGTGTAAGACGTGATACTGTTTGCTGTAAGTGCCGACTTCGCCGAGCCTGGTTTGATTGTGCAAGAGCGTGGATAACGCGAGGTTATAGGCCTTCTCTTAACGCCTGAGCGGCTGTCGAAAGACATAAAACGCAGAGGCGGATAGAACACCGCGACAGCGGGCACCTCTGTTCAGCTTACGCTATGCTGTTCTATTTCCTCGCAGTGCATGCACTACTGAACGCAGGGCTCACGATGGCCAGGGCCGCGGCATCAGCAAACGAGACTTCCTCCGTATCTTCGTCGCCGGCAAGAACTACTCAGCCTTCCGCTACATCCCTAGTCATCTCGTCGATCCTGGTCACCGCTACAAACGCGTCTGATTCGATAACTACGCCGACATCGGCGACGTCATTCTCTTCATTACCTTCCTTCACACCACCTCCGCTCAAGCCTGGTCAGCTTCCCAACAGTTACCCTTCAAATCCGAATATCACACTTCCTGGAAGCTTCGACGAGACATGGCAAGATGGTTGGTCAATGGCTCGCGGTCCGTGCATGCATGGCACTAAACACAGCCGCAGTCTTCCTTGTCACTCAAGGCTTGCCGAACATCACGTTTGCGTTGCCGCGGAACTTTGCGGGAAACCTTCCTACAAATACCCCAGGCCATGCAAACAATACCTTATTCTTCTGGGCAATGGAAAATAATATTGGGTCCCTGACGGCGACTGCCGCGCAGCTGACCACCGTACCCTGGATGATCTGGTTGGGAGGAGGTGGCGGGTGCGCACATCCATACACTTGCGTGGATTCCATCCTGATGTATACCAGACCCGCATCGCCCGCTTTGCTCACGTCGATGATTTCAGTGAGTCGTGTGATCTAGATCTCGCAATACGCCTGACGATGCGTACAGAATGGACCCATGCTCCTTGATAGGGAAGACTTCACCATCTCGCAGAACGCGCAGAGCCTAGCGAATCTTTTGGATGTGGTCTGGGTTGATCAACCCGGTGCGCACACACCTTGTACCCCTAACAATCGCATTCAACATCATTGATAGTCGGAGTGGGGTACTCAACCGTCGACACTGATGGCTACGGTACGCATTCTCAACTCTATCCTCACCGGATTCGATACTCACTAGTCCTCTCCAGCAAAAGATGAGAACAATGTCTTGAGTGACTTTGTACGATGGACGTCCTACGTGATCTTCGGTCTGCGCTGACAGCGATTCCAGATCGGGTTCTTGACAAACCTGGCGGAAATATTTCCAAGTTTGGCCAAACGTCCCCTCATTCTTGCCGGCGAGGATTACGCGAGTACTTACATTGTGAGCCCCTTTGATCTCTAAGTACTGTGCTCACCGGTCTTACACTGCCCTGTAGGCATACATCGCACAAGTCCTTGCAACCATACAATCGCCACCGGTACAACTCGCGACAGTGGCGATGGGCAACCCCCTACTTGGAGACATCTCCCTGTACGCAGACTTATCAACGGTCAGTGTCAGACAGCTGGAGGTATACATACATCACTGAACCTGCATCAGGTTAGTATACTACAGTCCATGCCTCAGCTCATCAACTATAATGAGGGAGTGTACTCCGCCTTTGCAGCCAAGTATGCTCTCACAATCATCCTGGAAGACTCAGGGTTAACATCGCTTGTAGAAGCCATGCGTGCGGATTCGACTTCAACTTGACATATCCTCAAGCGGATGCGATCCCAAACCTTGTCCCTGCACCGCGTCGCTCATCCTTCTGGGCCACTTTCCGCAATGAATCCCAGGAGCCGAACGTAGTGCTTCGTAGGTCTGAGTCGCCGAAGAAGCGTCAGAGTCCGTCTCTCGGGAACGAACTCGACCCCTTCTACGGATGCGCTCTCTTCGACGAGATGATCGACTATGCTACCAACTTCTCTTCATCTTGGGCTGCCACCGATTCGTTTGACGTATGAGGTTAATTCGCGCGTATGTCTTCATAGCTGACGCTGCCATCGCAGATCTTTGACATATCCAACGCGCTCAGCCCCAAGCGGACCTTCGATGGAGGTGTATACTTCAACTGTACGTCTTCCGACCATGTTGACATCCATGGCGTTTGAACACATCTGCCCGTCAGCTCTTCAAGTGCGCGAAGCTCTACACGCCCCTTTCGTCAAGAACTGGACCTCTGTGGGCCTATACCCCTTCGGTTCCACGCTTAATACCTGTGAGTGCCGCTCACATGACTCGGCTCCGTTCAGTCCTGAAGCAACATCTCAGCGTCGACGGCGAACATATTCGGTGACCCAACTCCCATGTAAGTGCTAGTGTCTATCTTTGGCCTTGCCGGTACTGACAAGGGCTCAGGCCGTCATCGCTTCTCGATCCTCTACGCGAGAGCCTGTCCACCAAGAACATCTCTCTGATCCTCTACTCGGGAACGCTCAATGCTATCGCTTCACACCATGCCCTCAGCGTGCTTATCCAGAACACAACATTTGGCTCCACGCGTGGCTTCACCCGTCAACCTTCTACTCCGCTGGTAGCGGACTCGGGTGCGACGGTGGGCATAGTGCACACCGAAGGCGGCATCACCTTCGCCATGTTCGACGGCATCGCTTCGCTATGGCGCGACGATCCCGGCTCTGCGTACGGGTTCTATAGGGACTTCGTACTCGCACGCGGTACTCAAGGATCACTCAGTGTAGATGGAAGTGGACAGGAAACGGTGCTTGGTGGCGAGGATGAGGGCGCGCGGGAAGACGTGCCTCGCGTCGCGAGCGATATATTCGTGGGAGCGGGCGCAACGCAGGGCACGGTGGCTGCACCCAGCGCCACAGTGGCGGCATGGGCAAGCTTTGTCGACGCGCAGCTTCCTCAGGCTACGACCTCTGCGGCTGGAAGGTCCATGATACAAAGATGGGCGCCTGCACTCGCTCTTCTGGGGGCGATTGTGCTCGCGTTCTAGCGTTGTTGTGCGGTGGACTGAGCGAACACTTCCATCGATCTGTGGGGTTGTGGCTCGGATGTACGGTCCGAGGGCGTGTTCCATTTGTATGTACCATGTTCATAGGGTAGGTGATAGACACCTTGATTATACCCCGAGAGCACGTCGCCGCGATCACGGGCATCCTACAACGCAGATGACAATCAACCTGTATTTCCCAGACATATGACAAAGCTACACGGGGTGGCGCGACGCGATGGCCGCGGCGATACTTAACCGAATGCGAGTATGAGCGAGGACAGAGAGCAAAGGGGAAAGAGATCGGGAGAAAGCCGGAGTACGGGGATAGCAGATGAGACGGAGAAACGGGGGACGCGGGGCTCGGGGTGTAGAGATGGGGGAAAGAGAAGCACGGCGAGCTATAATAGTAACATCGACTTGAGTTGAGATAAGATGGAGAGATACGTGGGGACTGTGGGAATTGTGGGGATAGGGGTGGTTTGGGTAGGACGGAGGACGAAAGACGAAAAGGCTACAGATTGTCCAACGAAGCCGAGATTGAGATCGAATCGATGAGGATATCAGGGTAGCAGAGATGGCAGTTTACGAGAAGGTATCCAGTGCGCAATCCACTCCGCGCAGCGGAGGCGTTGGTAGCATTGGGCGTGCGTGCAGTTCATGGTTGCGGCGTGCGAGGCGTGCGTGGCATGTTCTAATGGGTGGCCGGTGGGTTTTGTCGCGGGCTCGGGCTCCAGGAGTTGCGGTTCAGGAAGCTTGGTTTCTTCCGAACCGAATTCTTGAATGCCGTGCGGATGGCGGTCGAACTCGAACCCGGGGCAGATGCAAGAGCGAGCAGACTCGCAGGCGAGCCTCCACTGCTCGTCGCAGACCCTGGGAGACTATTCAATCCTGCTGAAAGTGGTTCCGCGGGAGATTGTGGCGGGCTTCCCGGGGCTTCACTTGACCCGGATGCAGTACTCGTGCTGGTTGCAGACAGGGCAGGCAATTGCGCCGGCAGGCGAACAGGTGACGGAGATGCCGACGCAGACCGAGAACTGCTATTGAACGAGTTGACAGATCCAGGCCCAGTCGTCGATGCCCAATCACTCTGCGATGAGCGCTCGGTGTGCTCAGCGGCAAGCAGGGACGAGGGGATAGTCATGGGGAACGCGTTCAGGAAGTCTTCTGGCAGCTGGGATGATGTGAGCGACGTGACACTTTCCGTGTCGGCCGTATCCGGAACAGTCTGCGCGGACAGAGTCTTGGCGCGCTCGTTCCAGACTTTGTAGTTCTCGACGCACTTGGTCGCGTAGTCAGAGACGGCTATGTGGAGTAAAACTTGAGTACGTATCAACCTGAAACGCATGGGAAACGTACGAGTAATCCCTTTCGCGGTCAGGTGGAATAGGGGCGAGGCGAACGTGTCGATGAAAAAGACCTGAGAGCGCGCTTCTGTGAGCGGACCATCTGCCGGTTTCAGCGTCGCGGGCATGTTGAGATACGATTCCAGGTTCGCCTGTGACGTCCACTCCGACGCAAGCGCCATGGCCCAATGTTGAGATACACCGAGGGGACGACACTGGCACGTAGCAGGTCAGGTCGAACAAAGCCTGAGTGACCCAGTGATCTGTGGCGTACCGGATTACTGATATCGGCGCACTTGATGAGCGCCTGGCTCACTAGCACACGCTTCGCCCAATCGTCCGTGACTTTACCATTCACGAGGTCTCGGAAGCCCTCCATGAAGACGTTGTGGACGCGCATGTCCGTCGCAAGCACGGTCTGGTGGAGAAGCTTCCGGAAGGAGTGCTTCGTGTTGGGCGTGTCAAGCAGGCGACCGAACCCTTGCTTCCGCAGGATTTTCATCAGAAGGGTGCAATGCATATTCTCGAGCGGCGATTTGCCCTCGTAGAGTTCCGCCAGCGGCGACTTTGCGTTTTGCTGAGAAGTTTCCCGTGAGCGTGCATATTGGCGCTGGACACGAGGCGGAAACATACCATGAAAGTGTTCGTGAGGCCCGGGTGGGCGACGTCATGTCCTATGGAGGCGACATACAAACAAAACAGGTCGAGAGAATCCAGACATTCAACAAGTGGGTCGAGTGTATCGGGGTTCGGTGCCCACGGTATGTTGTCGCCATGGAGTAGAGTTGCCGCTGGCGGTACCCTTCCGACAGTGAGAAGCATGTGATGCATGGCCTGGAGAACGTCCACGGCGTGCTGGAAGTTATGGTACGAGTTCTGCTCCCGGTACACTCGGCGGAGACTCCACAGCAATTCCTGTATTTGGTCTGTGGACAGCCTCGGCATGAGTATCGTGGGCGCCACACATACACGTGTTGTACACACCCAGGGACACATTGACGGCCTCCTGCAACCCATCGAGGAGAAAGAGGGACTCGAAGATGAGCAGCGCCGAGTAGATGAGGTGATTGTCGTCCAGTTTGTGAGGCTCAAAGTCCCAAGCATCTACGCGGGCTATGAGTTGTGCCCGGACGTCCGGATCGACATCAAACTGAGCACTATATGGGCCACATGTTAGCATGCCTGCGGCACGAGACGGTCAAGCTCGCATACGAGGCTTCCCCAGTCTGGATCGCCTTCTGCGTATCGTTGTACATCCTGCTCAGAAGTTCTGCGAATCTGAAAGAGTGAGACATTAGCAGCTGTATCGAGTGTTGGGTGGAAAGCGCAGTAGGACGTACACAGCGTCGAGCTTCTCTGGGGGCTCGTCTCCGCCAATCCAGCCATCACCGCTGCCCTCGTTCTGCAGGGCAAGGGCGAGGCCGCCGATGTCCACGCTCGTCCGCCGCCTCGCCTTGTCCGCCAAAGACATAGTCTGGGAGTCGTGAGATGCACACATGAAGACTGGTCGTCTAGCGATATCGGGCCGGTCGTGAAGAAATGACGGAATTTCGTCCTCAGATTCCAGAGCCCGCGTCGCCCAAGATGTCCCGGGACAATTGGAGAAATAATGAGGACGACGAGCAGATGGGGAGAGATGGCAGACGAGGGCGTGCACCAAGTCGATGGGAGCACAGACTGGGACAAGCGGACGCGGTTGGCCACGTGAGCTGATTTCGGCGCATCAAGTTAAGTTCTGGCCACATCGTGCTCCGCCCTGACCATCATCTTCTTCTCAACTAGTGCAAAGTCGTCGTCCTTTGGGAACCGGCGGACAGCCAGCAGACGCCGTCGCCCACGTAGACAGTTGTTTGTCTGATCGATGAATTTCTCTTCGTCCTCCTCGTCCCATTTCCTTCTTCTCCCTCTCTCCGAACCGAATCCGAGTTTTGCTTCCACACGTACGGCCGTCAGCCACGATGCACCCTACGCACATCAGTTTCTTGCCAAATCGCGTCGAGCCAAGGGTATTGCCGGTACCTTGTGAGTCAAAATACAACGGCGCGGCATTCGCCGGACGCCGCCTCCGCATGCCCACCTCCTGCATCGCGTACGCCGTCGACCCCGTGCTTCGCGGCATCTTCTGAGGAGGTCGCCATGGTCGTCAGGATCAAGTCTGCATCGTCGACTCGCAGCGTGTCCCATAAAGGCCACGCACGGCACACATGCACGCATTTACTTTATCCTCTTCTGGATACGCTGTGGGCGCTGGGCCACCGGCGAGTTCGGACACGGCTGCTACCTGTCACTCGGGCCTCTTCTTCTCAGTCGCCCGAATCCGGTACACGTTCTGAAGATCTGAAGAGCGCGCCCGGCTCCGTTCCGATCTCCTTCCTGCGGCTGATACCGGCATGCACATTGTCCCCCGACTGCGGTAAGCGGGCCAGAACGCGCGATCACGTGTGTATCTGCTCCCTTTCGCGACGCGAAAAAGGGACGGCGCCTCAATTTTCCTTGGGCCTCACCGCGTCTTCTTCCGCCTTCTCCACGTCATCGCACGCCCCATTTTACTGCGATCCTGCCCGTCCCATGCCGGCAACACAACACCTCATGCTGCACAAGGTCGGGGCGCCAACGTTCCACGGACCTTGCATGAGCTCAAATGGCGCAATCGCCCGTTTATATACCCAACGGCCATCGCCAAGCTTACAGCATTCTTCTTCCCTTTCCCCGGTCGAAAAATGTCGTCTGGCGCTCATGCCGGCTTGAACGAAGCCGACGGGTCTCACGGACGTAGAGACTCGTATGGCAGCACGGACAGCTTGGACAAGAAGGGCGACGAGTCTGGTCGTCCGATCGCTTTGACGAGGGTACATGGTGATGGTAATTCATAGCCTCAATTCCTCATCTTGCACCTAATCTCATTCCGTGTCTGTGTCCAGGTCACGACGGCGAGTCTTTTGACGCTGTACCGCAAGAGAAGCGGACCATTGGCTTGGTCTCCGCCATCTTCCTCATCTTCAACCGTGTCATCGGCACTGGGTAAGTTGAAAACCTAGATTCACACCCTTTCGTAACACCCACATTATTGCTCCCAGCATCTTCGCCACACCCTCCTCCATCCTGGCGAGCGCAGGCTCTGTCGGCCTCGCCCTCTTCATGTGGGTCATTGGCGCGCTCATCGCCACTGCCGGTCTGGCAGTATATGTCGAGTTCGGCACTGGACTACCGCGGTCCGGCGGAGAGCTCACATACTTGAGCTACATCTTCACTCGTCCACGGTATCTCGCAGTCGCTATGTTTGCTGCATACGCTGTCACGATGCCATGGCCAGCAGGCAACTCTGTTGTTTTTGGAGAATGTAGGCCTCAAACATGCATCTTATCCCTCTGAACCTCGACTAACTGGAGATTTCGATAGACATCTTGCTCGCAGCAGGCGTGGAGCCTACACAGTGGAACCAGCGCGGCATCGGAATCGGCTGCGTTACCTTTGCTCTCATCATGCATGGCGTCTTCCTCAAGTGGGGATTACGACTACAAAACGCGCTTGGCCTATTCAAGATCGCCATCCTCCTGCTGATCTCTATCTCTGGCTGGGCAGCCTTGGCGGGCCGCATCAAGCTTCCTGAGGACCAGAAGCCACACAACTTCGACAACGCGTTCGCCGGCACCTCGAGCAACGCCAACGCGTTCGTGACGGGCCTCTACAATGTCATTTGGTCGTTCATCGGCTACTCCAACGTCAACTACGCTCTCTCCGAGGTCAAGAACCCTGTCCGTACTCTCAAGATCGCGGGCCCGCTTGCGATCGGCTCCGTATCGATTGTATACATGCTCGTCAACGTCGCCTACTTCGCCGCGGTCCCCAAGGCCGACATCTTGACATCCGGACAAACCGTTGCCGCGTTGTACTTCGAGAACATGTTCGGACAGTCCGCCAGCAAGGCGTTGAGCGTGTTCGTCGCTCTTAGCGCCCTAGGAAACGTCATGGCTGTGCTATTCAGTCAGGGTCGTATCAATCAAGAGCTCGGACGTATGGGTGTCCTCCCGTTCTCGAGGTTCTGGGCGTCGAACAAGCCGTTCAACGCGCCGTTCGCGGGTCTCGCACTTCAGTGGCTGATGTGCGTGATCATCATCGTTGCGCCGCCGCCTGGAGACGCGTACAACCTAATCTTGAACAGTACGTTCTGTCTGCCACTTTACATTCCCGGACTTCGTACTGATTGCGCATTCGCAGTGGTCTCGTATCCCCTAGCCATCATCAACTCGTTCATCAGCGGCGGTTTACTCCTGCTCGGATACACGCCCCTGGGCGCGCGCCTATCCTTCGTATGGTCCCCGCCCTTCCGCGCTTCGTTTCCCGTCGTTGCGTTCTTCTTCCTCTCGAACCTGTTCCTCACCTTTGCGCCGCTCGTTCCGCCCGCACCGGGTCAGAGTGTCTACGAGAGCCTGCCGTACTGGCTGCACGTCGTTATTGGTGCGGGTATTTTCGTCATCGGCGCGATCTACTGGGTGTTCTGGGCGAAGGTACTGCCGAAGGTTGGGAGGTACCAGCTGGTCAAGAAGGAGGAGGTGCAGTATGATGGCGTCCCCCGGGATGTGTTCGTGCGGGTGCCGATTGGCGCGGAGCATTAGGATATTCGCAAGGGTATATGGCGCAGGGCCTGAGTGGACTCCGTATATTGCTACACATCGCTATCTGTACACTACCTATAATGTCTTTCAAAACGGATATCAGGAAGTTGACGCATGAGTGCCCTGTTCGCAAATATTTTTTGACTGCCAGCCGGGTTGCCGTGACGAAAGGTGTCACACGCGTTCAAGTCGCGTCGACGCGCTTATTCGGTTCTTGACCTCAACCACCAGCTTCCAAACACCAGTCATGGCCGGTACGCGAGGCCGAGTACTCGGTTCTGTACCCTTTACTAATGGGTTATAGAGAACTCTACGCTACTCAACTCCGCTCCTACCGACTCTATCTCACTACTGAGGTTCGCACCGTCGAACCCGAACGGCTTGCTGGTATCCTCATGGGATTCGGTGAGTGGCGCTTCCTCGCCTCCGCCCGTTGGCTCGCGCGTGTTCAGACATATATCTAAAGCTTCTCCGCTCTCTTTGGGCTCGCGCAGACTGTACGGTTATATGATGTTGCTGCAAACGAGCAACGCGCCAAGTTCGATCTTCGAGGAGCTCAACTCGCGACCGCGTTCTCGGACGACAAGCATGCGTTCAGTGGTGGAGTAGACGCACAGCTAAACTCGTATGCATACTCTTTGCGAGATATAGCGTGAACTGAGGCTGACATCACCGCATAGGCTTGATCTTGAGACCCAACAACATAATGCCGTTGGCAAGCACAACGACACGATCTCGGCCATGAGCTACTTGAAAAACTCAAGTGCGTGACTCTTTATACAGGTATATAGACTTGATACTTATTGCGAACTTCACTACAGACTCCCTTGCAACTGGTTCATGGGACCGTACACTACGTTTATGGGATCCGCGCGCATCAGGGCAAGAACAAGCCTCGCACAACCTCCCCGAACGCGTCTACTACATGGACTCTCTTCAAAACCGCCTGGTCATCGCTCTCGCCTCCCGCCTCTTCCACGTCTACGACATCCGCAACATGGCCAAGCCCGAGCAAACACGCGAGAGTAGCTTGAAGTTCATGACACGAGCGCTCGCGTGCATGGCGGACGGCGCGGGCTTCGCGACGGCCAGCGTCGAAGGTCGTATTGCGGTCGAATACTTCGATATGACGCCGGCGATTCAAGACAAGAAGTACGCGTTCAAGTGCCACAGGCAGACTATAGACGATGTGGACCACGTTTGGCCAGTCAACTCACTCGCGTTCCACCCTATCTACAACACCTTCGCATCTGCTGGCTCGGATGGGACTGTATCTATCTGGGACTTGAAACTCAAGAAGCGATTGCGCCAGTACCCGAAGTACCCGAATGCCATTCCCAGCATTGCGTTCAACGCGGATGGGAGCAGGCTTGCAGTCGGTGTGAGTTACACTTGGGATAATGGGGAGGAGGGAGCGAAGGCGGCTTCTCCGCCTTCCATCCACGTGCGTCCTCTGGGAGATGAAGTCAAGGTGCGTTGGATCGTGCGATCTTTCGCTTCGAATCTCTGCTGAAATATCTGTGCAGCCTAAGGGTTGGACGGGCTAAGTTCGTGCCAATCTGTTTCCTATCCCACTACGACGTACTCGTTACATCTTACGGATGCCATTCCTTGAGAATATGCTGCATATTCTTACAGATCAGTGATGCAGTAATGCTATGGGTACAGGCTGTACAAATATATTGTACGAATGTCGGTCTCTTATGAATGTGGCGTTCACAGCACGAACTCCTGACCGCACTTTCCGACAACTATCTCAGAACTTTCCAAGTGTCACATATACTAATGTGACGGCGTCAAGCAGCGCAGGCGTGGCACTGGTCCGGAACTTACGATAGCAGCGAAACTCCGCTGTGCCTTGATGTGCAACTACGGGTATTTATGCCAACCTTGTCCTTGGCACCATTGCAATATTGGTGCAAGAATTCACTTAACTTCCTCATGTTGAAGTTCTTCAGCGCTACGAACATGGGGACTACACTCATCGTAGTCCGTGGAAGACCCAAGCTTTATCTCCAATCTGTAGAACTAAAATAAGGCGACAGTGCATGGGGTTACAAAGTTGAATGCGAATTATAAGATGCATGGTTTGAGGGTATAGTTTCCTTCACATTAACGGCGATCTCGTTTCACCTGAAAACCCGGTGCGCAAAGAAGGACAGGTTCATCCAGGTGCTAAAGCGAAGATGAGCAATATGCGAATGTGTCGATCTTTGTTCGATACTTACTTGGTCTTCCTCTGATCCAGACTATATCCCATTGGTTTTGATAAGTAAGAGTTCTTCGACGCAAATAACTTACTTGAACTCACCTGTAAGTTCTGCCAAGGTATACTCTTCACTGCTTCACTAAGCCGACCTATCCACATATTCTTCTCTTCATTCTTAGCCTTGTGTGCACGCCGCCTCAGCCTCTTGAGCTTGCGGGATACCAAGCTATAACATGCATCGGAGAGCTCGGGTCTACGAATTCAAATGCGTATAAGCGAGGATTCGTCGAGGCGATCTCACTCACTGTAATCGTTTCTGGATCTGCCTCGCGGATAGATCAGGCTCCTTCTCTGTAGCATCGTGATGTTAGCATCGAATGCGACTGATAGCAAGCGCATGTCCTTCACTGACCGAGTAACTGAACGAGCGCCTGTGAAAGTTGGGATAAGTATCGCGACAATATCCAGGCTGGCCGTTCAATCACGTACCGGCGTCATGATACTAGCGGCCTTCCGGGTATCCTCAAAAGACTCCTGGTTATCTTGACACGCGGATATAGAGGTCTGTGACGGGTGTGAGTGCGCGTAAAACCAGCCATCAAACCCGACTCCCAGCCCGTACTCACCACTATAGGATGGCGTTTGGCCAGAAGTCTGCATCGTTTGCACGTCGTGGATGCGCCGCCTCCACTACCATGAACGTTGTGCACGAAAGTCTTGGGTTCGTAATATAGCACTGAATTGAGTGCTGATGACGCGTTATCGGTGGATAAGGAAGAAGTGTCCGACATCGCGAAATTCCCGGTCAACGGGACTTCCACTGCCGAATCATCCATACGCGCATCATTCACTGTGATGATCGGTAGACAATCCGTCGACTCAGTGAGAGCTTGAGGCTGGTCAACGGATCCGGTGTTCCTCAGTCTGGCATTGCGCGTGCGCAAGACATGCAGCCTGGCGAGAGCCTTGACTGCCCCCCAAGGAAACTTTCGCATGCTCTCTGCGGCTGCCCAGAAGACGGCAATCGGTGTTGGCAATGAGTTGTGGCGGATGGCACTCGAGGACTCGATATCGCTTTGAGAGGTCCGTTCGTGCGTCATATCGCTCATCCGGCTGAGAGTGGGGTACAATCTCAGGTCCAACATGGTGCCTGAATGGCAAGAGTCGAAAACCGACTATTCACTGGTGTCAGACTCAGCGAGGATGGGATCCAAAAACTCGCGCTCACTGTCAAGCGCGCACCATTGCACAATGGTTCGACCAAAATTTCCCGCAGTAACTACCATTTGTGTCAAAGACGCTGCCGCTACCAGGTAGACAGGGAAAGTGAATGGCTTACATCGTCCAAGATGGTCTTGCCGTCCACTGGGACCATATCTGAACGCATTGAGAAATCATCAGTTGAAGAAGGATTGTGTTAGGAGCCGGGACAAACATTCATCACGGCCGTCCTCTTCATGTATATCTCTGACAGCCTGTACTTGGCCGGAATGTCCGGCGTCTTGGAATGCCGTGCAGTGAGCATAGATCATGGTCCTATAAGGCGAACGACTACCCACAATAGAATGCCAGCATATCTCCAGGACCAGCACCGGCCACCAGCTCATGTAACCTGGCTATCTGATGAGAGAAATGCGTCAAACAGCCGGCAACATGCATTGAATGCACAAAGACTAACCATGTTATCTCTTGAGGGCCATAACCCGCCTTCGCGATTCTCCTCTTCATCCGTCATGATTGTGACATCACTCCATCCGTACGTTGCTAAGGAAATGAAGGCAACTAAGCCCATGTAGGTCTATGAAATCTGGTACGCTGACCTCGAAGTAACCTTGCGAAGTTATACGCGTCGTTACGGCAGCCTACCAGAGGCGAAAGATCCAACTCCCTACATTCCGGCGCCGTGTATGTGATGCCGACGATCAGAGCGCGATATCGAGGTCGCAGAGAGCACCGGCGTGAGTGAAAGAGGAACTCCGAGCAGCGCGGGGATAGTTTGCTGGCCGCACGCGTAATACTGGGGCATCGAGGACGCTTGGCATCGCTTGCGACGCCATGGGCAGCAACGTCCGCGGTCGGCGGGCGATCCCCCGACCGCGGGCGAAAGATAGGAAGTGTGGCGTGCTGTAGCTTTCGTCCGGTTGACGTGAATGGTTTCAGCATCCGTGCTCGTCGGAAGGGAGGGAGTCAGGAGGAGGTCGGTACAGCGACGTCCTGGTCCAGGGGAGGCCGGACGGACGGGCGAGTCTTCTCGACTCGGGCTGGACTTCCTTATATACCATGATACGATACGTAGTGCAGATAGTCCACAGCGCATTCCTGTGCAAGAGCCAGGTCTCTACACGAGGCGCTAGGAATCAGATCGAGCACATCGCACGCTCTTCCATGGGTCCAATCTAGCGCCCATAAGGTATTACATCCGCGCCGCCGCCTGCCTGTTGCTGCATTCGCCAACCCGTAGGTTCGCACACGAGAACAAAGTTAACCGCGCATTAGTGGCAGACGGCATTGCGAGCATCGTGCGACGGGCGCGATTTTGTAGTGGGTGAGCGGGCAAGAAGTGCGCTTTGACGTCGACGTGCCACAGCCGGACCCTGGGAATGGCCGGGATAATCCGCATCGCTTCGGTGAGTTTGGAAACATGCGGTCGAATCGTGACGTCTACACGGCTACATCATATGACCACCATGAATATTGTGTGGTGATTCTGAATGGAGCACTGAAATCGACAGGCTCAAGTATGTATGTGCAAAGGTATATCGTGCAAGCAGTCTTGTGGGTATCGTATCTTAGTCTCCGACATCACGAGTGGCCCGAATTTCTTTCCCATCCTGGGCGGCAAAGTAGGATAGGTTCGTTCATGTGCTGGGGGTGAAGTATAAGTACGGACTCGACTGTTATCGTGCACCGACTTACCTGATCCTCCTCTGCTCCGGACTGCATCGGGATCTTATCAATATATGCCTCTAGGTTCGATCCGGATCTGAACTCACCTGAACAGATTGCCAAGGCATCTCGTCAATCATTGTTAGGACTTTCCTGCGGAATTTCGTGACTTTTTGGGGTTTACGACGCGGCCGCCTCATATTCTTCAAGCTTTCGAGAACGAAGCGGCAACACGCTTGGAATAGCTTGGGCCTGGAGTTTTCATTCAGTATTCGGTGACGGTGCTTAGACCATACTCCAGACTCACTGTAGCTTCTTCTGAATCTGGATGGCGGAGAGATCAGGCTCCTTCCCTAACATCCAGCGTTAATACGAGTACTTCAGGAAGATCGAGCACTGAGAACTTACTAAGCAATTCAATAAGCGCCTGTAATGACCAGAAACCACTTCAGTCGGATATCAAACTGGCATCGTGGCGGATACTAACCGGTGTCATGATACTTGCCCTTTCCCGGATATCCTCTAGCGCCTCTTGGCTGTCTTGACATGCGGCTATCGAGTTCTATACTCGGTTCGAGCATGTACGGCCAGCTGATGAATCTGCACGTACCACTATAGGGGGTCGACCATCCAGATGCTCGCAATCCTTGCATCCTACGCGTGTATTGCGCTTCGTTTTGCCAACAACGACAGTTGCGTCCGCGACCCCCTCGGGTTCCGCGTAGACTGTGGTTTCGACCATCGTCGAAGGGGTGCGATCGGTGATAAGAGACGAGTTGTCGGAAACCCCCATTCCGCTGAAATTGACACCCACGGCCTGGGTGCTAAACGCCACAGGCCCTTCTTCGTTTAAAGTGACGAGAGGCGGATCATCATCTTCAGTAGCCTTGAGCGGACTCTTACACTGGGGCTTCTTGTGCAACCTTGCAATCGCCCGACCAATTGCCATCCAGGGAAACTTCTTTACCCTATTGGTCACGGTCCAGAAGGCTACGCAGGGGTTGGGCATCGACTGTGAGCGGAGGGCCGGCCGCTGGACATCGGTAGTATATCTTCTATATGTCTCATCGCTTTTGCGCGCGGTGTCCGGGTACCAGTCGAGGTCCAACATTGTTCCCGAGTGGCAAGAGTCGAATATTGCCTGAATGCAGTCAGCTAAGCAGAGTGTGAACGCCGCAAAGTAAGACCTACTGTCAGACGCGTGCCATTCCGCAAGGGGTCAATCAAAGTATCCCGGAGCACCTATCGGCAGAGTCAGAAAGACCGCGGCGCTCCAAATATACGGTGCTCACGTCATCCAAGATGATGCCCCCGTCGACAGGTATCATGTCTAAGAAGCGGTTAACGAGGTTCGTAGTATGACATGTCCATAGATGACCTTACGCTCGTCGTAGCCATCGACTTCGTGTCCGTCGTCCCGCGCTTGTAGCTGATCGGAGTGACCAGCATCTGCGTTACCTGCCATGAGGCTTCAGAGCATCAAGCCTTGGAGACCACGCACAATATACGACGAACATGTCTCCCGGACAAGCGTCAACTATCAGGTCACCCAATTTACTCATCTGACAACAGCTTCAGAGGATGATACGCTTCACTTGACAGAGAGGCGGACCCACCATGTTCGCCGTTGAAGGCCACAGGTTTGTCTCGCGATTCACCTCCTCGTCGGTCATGACGGTGATATCATCCCAGCCATAGTGATCTAATATGTCATGGGCGTCAAATAGAAAGGCGGCGTCAACGTCACTTTCGCACCTCGAAGTAACGCCGCGAAGTTATGGGCATCATTGTGGCAGCCGGTCAAGGCCGCGAGACCCAACTCTCTACACTCCGGAGCTTCGTAGGTGATCCCAAAGATCAGAGCGCGGGTGCGTCGCGGACGATCACAGTTTTCCGAGTGGAATAGCGTGTCTGAGCGACGCGGTCCGGGTTTGACAGGACGCAAGCCGAGTTTGCTACGCTTGACGATGAAGTCCGCGTTGT